TTGAAAAAGTACCTTTAGTAACTATGTTGTTTTATGCATGTATTGTAAGAACAGGGATTTTTAGACCCATAGAGGATTGAGTCCATCTTACTGTAATCACAGTGGCTTTGCTACAATAGGGTCTCTGTAGATTCTTCTTCTCTGGAAGAAGAAAGTCCTATGATCAGAAGCAGTAAATATTTTTGTTTTGTCAGAATGGAAGTATTAATTGGAACATGTCCTAGGATAAACTTTTCAATGGATAAAAATGATATTTCTTAATTCTCTTTTATTTTGTAGGTAAATTCCGTGTGTAATTCAAAACTGTTGCTTTGACTCCCTTCTTCTCTCATCTAGAGTCTTAGCTGTGATGGATGTTTGGCTAAGCTAGCCATAGCCAGCTGTAAGTGGAAACCGTACACCTAGACTGAGTGGTACAGTGTTGTACAAAAACAAAAAGAAAAAAAGTCAAAGGAATTGAAGTATCCATGGCTGGGTATCATAGGAGCAAATAAGCATTTAATTAAGTGAATTTGAACTAGGAGTTAGAACTATGTTCTGAAATACCAGGTTTGAGAGGGCTGGGAAAATCTTTCCCTGATCAGACTGAAGAGGAGCTTTACCCAAAGAATGAGGTATGATTGCTGATGTGATCTCCTCCCCAGGACATTGAGTCTTTGAGAGAAAAAGGAGACTTAAAAAAAACATGCAAGATCTTTGCTTTTGAAATGATCTTTCTAAATACAATGTTATTTCAGCAGACTAACCAGTGCTTTGGTTTGAGGACAAAAGATCCTACATGACTGCAGCAGCAAGCAAGCTTTGACAAACTTCTGGGGAAAAAAAAACCTTCTTCAAGGTCCAGGTGTAGGTGATTGCATTGAATGTCACGTGTATTTCTCAAGTGGCCATATTTCAGCTAAGGATGGGTGACCTGCCGGTGCTTTGTCACCCACCTTCCCTGAGAAGCATGCTTAGAGACTTGCCAGCATTGAGTGTGGAGATGGCTAATACAGTAACTCTGAAAGGTACAATTCTTCACTTTAGAGAAAATCAACCACTAGAGAACTAGATGGCCCTTGTAGCCCAAACGTCTGTATTAGCAATAATGTTCCCATTTTATTTTCTTAAGATTACTTGCTCTTTGGAACGGAACTATAGCATGTAACATACACATGATTTCTGTTTTATCATGTGGAAATATTACTGCTACTTTATAGTATAGTTCTTTTCTGACTTAGAAGATTTGAAGATAGTTTGCAAATATAAGAACCTGTGAAGGTTGTAACTCAGGCACATCCAAGGTTTCCTTACATGCAATTAATGTCATGCAGACTGGCTCAGCACCACGTGTTCCCTTGTTAAAATTTTCTTTTTACTTCTGTTAAAATTAAAGAGCTGGGGCAGGGTGCTGAGAAGGTGTTCCTACATCACTGCAGTGTTTTAGATCCTTTCCATCCAAAACCTCAAGATGAAAATGGAAAAAAATATGGAACAGTTGTCTGCAGAACTTTTTGTGTTTGTGAGCAGAGTTCAGTTTTGATGATGCCCTGGCTGAATCTATTTCCAGTTTAGTTTCCTTTCTGTATCATCTGGTAATATTGGTGGCCTGTTTGGGAATAAATATTCTCAGGTTTTAGGGTGCATTTTCATGCAGTCTGTGACCAGAATTTCAGGGCCCCAGAGCAGTCTGCTAGGCTGACTCCTGGAAACATAGAGCCATTAAGGTTGGTAAAGACAACTAAGATCATATAGTCAAACCATCAACCCATGCCCACCATGCTACCAAACCACATTCCTCAGTGCCATGTCTACCTATTTCTTGTACACCTCCTGGAATGGTTACTCCACAGCCTCCCTAGGCAGCCTGTTCCAATGTCTCCCCACTCTTTCTGAGAAGAAATTTTTTCTAATATACAACCTGAACCTCCCCTGGCTCAACTTAAGGCCATACCTTGGGGATAGCTTCATTTTCACAGCAAGGTTTAGCAGTTTCATGCAGATTTTGTCAAGTACCTCATTTTGAAATATCAAAATACTTTTCTTGCCACACTCCATCTTTAGTTCTATTTAGAAATCGGGATCAATTTACTACACCTGGTATCTAGTCTTTGATTGTGACCATTACTGAATAATGAAGAAGTTGTTGCAGTGTGCTAAACTAGTTCCACAGTAATGGAGCTCGTGAGCTTATGGTTTCCTTTATGCCCGGAACCAGATGTGGGATATCCCTGTTTTCTGAAATATTCAGAATTTTGCATGTTATCTGTAAACTGTATTTAAAAACAAACAAACAAACAAAAAAACCCAAACAACCCAAAATCTGAGCAGCAAACAGCAATTAGAAAAAAACTTATGAAATAGTTGGCAGCATCACCTCCTCTAATGGAACGCAGTGTTCATTTATTTTTATCTTTAGTGCACAGAATTTCTGCTTATAAGAACAGCCTCTGAAGTTACCAGGTGTAACATAGCACAAGTGCTGAGTGGTGCTGCTGAGCCCAAGCAGCTGCTGCATTTTCCCTGTTTCAGTGGTGGACTTGAAGTTGAATAGATGCAGTGTAAGTATTTTTTCTGAATGCTGAAATGAATGGATTAGGTCACTCTTTTACTCCCTTTGTGTTTTCTCTCCGTAAACTTCTTAGAGACCTGAGTTTACTGCACTTCTTTGAATCTATTTTCTAAGAAAGTATTCATTGAACATAATTTATTACGATAGGTGTTTTTTTTTTCCCTCTCCTTATGATGTGAATTATACAAGTGACAGTTACTGTGCAGTTTAACCACTTACTAGTGGTAAGTAGTGGTGTTATAATGTGTGGTGGAGCATTTTACACATGCAAAGAATTGTTTGCAATCAAGGCAGAAGGGAACATGGCTGGAATAAATTTAAGTAGTGAACACAGTTCTGGAAACCATTAGGTAAAAGGGACCTTAGAGAAATCTAATTATTTCAAATTACAGCTTCGTAAAAATTGAAAATGTGATTTAGAAGGAGCAACTTAAAAGTAATAAATAAATTTATACTCTGAAAAATACTTTTTATGGAGGCAGTTTACCTTTTGTGGTAGCTTTTGCAACTTTTTTTCTGCAGTATAGGTCCTTGATAAACAGCCCCTTTTTACTCTTGAGATTATTCTCATCTTTCTCTTCTTTTAAAACACAAGATGAAAATGTATGAGGTATTTTGGTCTAATCAGGTAGATTTCATGATTTCATTTATTTTGTCTTTGAGATATAATTTGCTGTAAGTGCTGTCACAGAAAGGTGGCTTTCTACAGCTCTGTTAAGCTCCCTCAGTGGCTGCAGCCCCAGGACTGTGCTTGTCCGATCGAAGGTGGGACCAAACAGGATGGGGTCTACCAGGGAGGCTGACTGCTCCACTGAAACCATGCGGAGGTGGAGATTCCAGAGCCAGGATGATCTTTTTAGATGATTAGATTACCAGGTCTCTTCTGATGTGCCGTGTAGTGAGTCTGCAGCACTTGTGTTGCTGTGCTGCTGGAGCTTGGGGTTTTTGTGGTACCAGACAGGCAAAGATTGTTCCTTATAATCTATTGGGGCTTTCATGCTTTCATGCACGGGATAGAAACATTCTAAAAGGGATGGGTGCTGCAGCATGCATTAAGGAGAGAAATAGATCATAGAATCACAGAATTTTCCAAAGGGATTCATAGGGAGCATCAAGTCCAACTCCTGACTCCACACAGGACCACTCTGTGACGACAGATGGAGAACAGGAGAAAGATCTTTGAAAAATACCTAAGGTCATGGTTAGGGTTGTGATAACTGACCTTGGCTTAGTTCAGAAGTTGACTCGGGTTTTGCAGAAGCAGGAGAGGAAGGAAGCAAAATTGATGGACTTTAAGGGCAAGGCAATTGACGGACTTCAAATTATCCTCCATTAAAAAAATGGAAAAGGGGTTCTAAATTTCAGTGCTTGGTTCTTGTCAGCAAATAACAGATGTTCTGTTGTCTCACGGTTCTGTCTGCACTGAGAGATGCAGAAGGGTTTCCTGGTTCCCAGGCCCAGTTGGGGTTCAGCCCAACACCAAGATGAAGCACGTTTGTAGTCTATTCCTGCCTCAGTCTCATCCTTGTTCCTGACTGCACAGGCATGCAGGCAAACAGAAGCTGTGATGCCTTCTCAGAAATGCCCTGTTGTGGGTTTTTGAAGGATGAGGACTGGAGGCTCTCTGCAAAGAGTATCTTGTAGAAGGCATAGCAGATAGGAGCCCACTCTGTTATTCCAAGTGATAAAGATTTTGTGTTCATCCAGCACTGAGATGGTGAAGGTGTTGTAAAATGAGCGTCTGCATTGTTGCATGTGAGAATTTCTTTTTCATTTAACCACGTTTTTAAATTAGGAAGTTTCTATAATAATAACGTTAGAATTTCAAATCTTCTGAACAAGGAAGGAGTCCTGTGGAAATATGGCATATGTGGTCTGTTGCTGTCACTGTGTACAACAGGGCCAAGTTGGTGGCTGCATGAATAAAAATGTCATTCTGTCACTCTCCAAAAATTGGAATATTTGATGTCTAAACTTGGGTTCTTTTAAATCCAGTATTAGTCTGATAGTAACTGTATTGGGATTTTGTACTTTGTGCTTTGCTGCCTTGTATAAGTTTTACCCATTGCTTTTTTGTTTGCTTACTGTTGATTATATTTTATGTTTCAAATTCTGTTTTTATTCAAAGAAAATGTTACAAATGTTAAAAGATATTGTCAAAATCATAGATGCTTCACATCTAAAATACCAAAATAGTGTACTTTTCCATCAGTAATTTGACTGAAAATGTGCAGAAAACAGTAATTTTCTTATTAATACTTTGCTTTATGCAAAGCCTTTGAAGATTTTTTTCTGTTTGTTTTTGTTGTTGTTTCTTTCAAGGAAATTCTGGTTACAAAATTTTCTGCTTGATGAGACATCTTTTACTTTTGGATCCCTAATTTACATGCAAATGAGTAACAAAGTGTTCTTTTTACTGATTTACAACTTGGATCTTTTATTTCCTCAGCCATCATGTATGTCATGGGAGCACTCGGTCCTGCAGCTGGCTACTTACTGGGAGGACTTCTCATTGGTTTCTATGTTGATCCTAGGACAACTGTTTATATTGACCAGAATGATCCCCGATTCATTGGAAACTGGTAAGGGTCAAGCATTTTTCAGGGCTACTCTTGCCAACAGGGAATTGAGGTAGGGTGGGCAACTGTATCCCTTGAGGGCTTATTTAGGTCTACGGAAGGAGGTCAAGGAAGAAGAGATTTGTATTGGTTATTGCATGGTAGGTCTTGACAGAGAGGAAATGCTTGCCACAAAAACATCTGTGCAACATTTAATGGAAAAAATCTCCTGTTTTGGCAGTGTCAGGAGCTGCTCTGACTGACATGGTGGGTACTGACTGACAGCACTCAGCACAGAAATAGCCGGACAGGATACTGCTATGTCTGGGAGACCTTTGAGATCACTGCTGCCTAGGGTTGAGTCCTTCTCAGTAGAGGCTGGATACATCCCCTCTGGCTTTCCAGCACGTCTTTGATAGGGTTTTTCTGATTCTTGACCCTGGTATGGTATGGAGTACAGTTTCATATCTGGTGCACTGGATAAGTACTTGTCACGATGACATTTCACTCAGACCATATCTGCTTCTGTTTAACCTACAGTGATCAATCTTCACAGTTTGATGTGAAAAATTAATTCTTTGGAGTGTTCCTAGACCTTTGAAGATTTATCACTGCTTTATTTGCCATACTTAGCACAAGAGCATTGATGCACGGGATTGTTTGGATGAATTTTCAGTGAGAGACAGAGAAACCTGAGTGCTTGGTTAACCTGACCCTGGGGTTAGTGGCTCTGTGCTGTCATTTATATCTCATAGGAAAGATCTGTGATGTGAATGTACTGTAGTGTTAAAGAAGCACTCTGGCTAATTTTGAATAAAAGATTTTAAACCAGAGCAAAAAATTATACATTTTTATTAAAATTCTTATGCTTCACATGTGTTTAAGTATATCAGGTAGCTACTTTCAAGCCATTTACACCAATCTCTTCTGCTTCAGATGGACTGCCACTGTTGTTGGTTTACAGCTGGGTTTGGCTACATTTATAAGAGAGATTAGCCAGAAAAATGCCTGTCCTTCCTCATGGATTACAAGTTCAGCTCCCCTGTCTCAGAAGAGTGACTACCAGAGATGGGTCCCAGATATCCTACAAGAGTGGTTGTAGCCACTGAGCAGGAGTGGTGAGGGGTCATCTCATACAACCTGGCCTGTGCTTAGGCTTTGAGAACATCTACTGTGCCGGATCTTGCAAGTGAGACAGAGTCCTGTTTGCACATTTGGAAGATGTTATGTTAAACCACTAAATGGATTTCATGTATCTCCAGGGCTTAATATCACTTGGACAGGTATCTTGGTAATTTCAGTTTAGCAGAGGAGTGCCTGTAGAAGTGATACAAATAGGACTGAAGGAAAGGCAGAAAATCAGCTGCCATAGTTGTCGTGTTCTGTCCAGCTCAGAAAAGTCACTCAAAGTTTCCTTTTTCCCTCATGCTTGTTAAATCTGTGGATTGAAGAGTGTTCCAGTATTATTCTTTTGGTTTTGGCTCTCTATATTTTTTCTCTTAACTTTCTTAAGATTGTTGCCTGCTGTCACATCTCTCATAATTAAGTTTTGTGATCTGTGGTGGCTTCTAGTGATAGTTCAGTGATTTCAGAGCATCTGTGCTGCTTTTTTTTTTTTTTTTGGAAAGCTTTTTCTATTAAAACTGTGACTCTAATGGTGTGCCTGCTGGTCCTTTGTCCCTTGCTACTCAGTGATTGCCTGGTTGCAGAGCACTCTGGAAGTGTTGATTTTCATTCCATTGAAATTTATTTTCTGGGACTGTGACATTTTCTCCTTGCAGGGAAGTGCTGCGTAGCCAAGTTTATTTTTATGTATGCAATCTAAAAATTTGAAATGTAACAGTAGTCTAGTGCTGACTTCAGAGAGCTGAAGTGCTTTTCAAAAGTAGGGTGCAGTTGAGATAAGTTAATGGCCAGTCATATTTGAGATTTCTCAGCCATGTCTTCTTTGAAGTGAATTAATGTCTTTGATTTTCATCTTTTCTTTATTACAGCTGCAAGGTTTCTCACTTTACTTATCACAGGGACCAGTGGAAAAATTCCACTATTAAAGCAGGTTATCATTACAGACAAGATAGTAAGTAAAGCAGCTGTGATATATGGCAATAAGAATTGCTCTGAGGTCTATTTTTTTTTTTTTACTTAAGCTGTTCCTTTCTAAAAAGTATTTTGCATGTATTCCGGATGGGCAACTTTATCTCATGTCAGACCTGATTAAGTAACTGCTGCTTTTGGGGTTATTTCTGATCTGTTTCTTCCTTGTTTTGCACAGTTTGGGTTTACACACCTGGGTTTTTGTAGGTGCTCTGGACTAAATTATAGGCCAGCTGTCTTTGTCATCGTATCAAATATTGAAAACTGCTTTTTATTCAAGTGTGGTAACTGTGGACATCTGTTAGAAATCATTTGTCATGTTGTTGTCTTTAAAAATTGCTAATGTGCTATATAGGGATCTCGTTAGTTGTGGAGTAGCCCTTGGCGGTCTGTCAAGTGCTTTGAATCAACTTTTCTTTTGCTGACACTCTTCTGTTTGCCTAGTTCTGAATCTGTTTAATACTTGGAACTTCTCATATTGTCTTTCATCATCATTCCACGCAAGAAGTTTAAAGGAATTCCTTCAGCACTGTCTGGTCCTCCCCGAGTTTTAATTGCTTTTATCTGAGGTCTTTGGATTTCTGCAGATGCCTTTGAGGTATTCCACTGCATATTTTCTTTGACTTTAGAACATAGGAAATCAAGGGCTTTTTAATTAATCTGTAGATCCTATTCTGACCTCTCATTTTCTATCGTAGGTGTCTATTATTTTTTATATATTCTTTTGTCTGTTTTCCAGTTCTTTGATACTTCTCCAGGAAGATGTGAAATGTAGACAGTGCACATAATTACATACAGTGCTGCATTTGTGACATCTCCAGCACTTGGTATGCTTCCATACAGATCCCTTTGGATTTCAGTTTTATCTCACGATACATCACAAGGCCTTGTCTCCTTTGCTGTTTCCCACTGAGTGGCTTCACATTTCTGCCTATTATTGCCACAGATTGTTTCTTTGATCAGTGCAGCTTCTGCCTTTGAGATCCTGAAAGGGGTGTTACTGCATTTTTATACAGTCTACCAATTTATTACCCACCTGATAGTGCTGATTGATCCTCCTGAAAGTGTGGTTTCTAGCCTATGTATTCTGTTAGCTAAAATGAGTCAATAGAGGATTTTCTGTTTATGTAATATAAAAACAAGTGAAAACTTTCAGTAACTTAGATTTGCCTCAGAATAGCTCCTTGCATAATCTTTCTAACAAAAATGGTGTTACATGTGAAAGTTTGTTTGGTGTTTAACTTTGCATAACCATTATATATGCATATGAATTGACCTTTATTTAATGGTACAGTTTGTAATATCTTTGCATTACGAAAGTGTTGCCAAACATTTCTGTTTATTGTGCAAGTAATCCTGTCTATCTTGGACTTCTAAATGTTTAAAATTTGCACAAATATTTAATTATTAGCTTCCTGGAGTAGCTTCCTTTTTTAAGTGTAAAAGATGTGCAAAAACGTAAGATTTCACCTATGCACTGTGATATGAAATCAGAGTGCTTCAGACTTTTGTTGTTGAGTTTGGATATTGGAGTAAGGTGGCTGAATTCAATGAATGTTCTAGGTACTAGTGCAGAGTAGAATAGTGTCTATTGAAAATCTCACTTTCAATACATTGGAAGAACTCAAGGGTGACTTCTGAGGAGCTTTTCATTGGAAAGAGAGAGAGCTGAACAGTCAGTGCAGTGAAAAGTAGGCACTGGAAAGCAGAACAGATCTAGCTTTGATATGTCAATTTGGACATTATATCATGGTTAATGCCAAAGATAAATTTTTGTGTTCTCCAGAGGAATGCTGTATTGCTTTACTGCAAATTATCTAAGAAAGGCAAAGTAAAAGTGAACGTCTCCTTCTCTGAATAATTATCAGAAGTAGAAATATACAGGAATTCGAAGCTGACCCTATTTCATAAACCACTTGGTGGTTGCTAGATAAATACCTTTATCAGTAGAAAAGCCAACAGAAAAGTCTTCTAATTAAGTGTTTTAACACAGTGAAGGATCCTCTCCACTCCATTAATTTACTCTAATTTCAGTGTTGTGTATTTTGCAAAGATGTCCTTCTAGCTAGTACAGTCTGTAATAATCACTTTGGTATATTTATTTCATGTAATGTATTGCCTTTCATTTCTGTTCCTATCTTCTGGCATTAGGTGGAGTGGATTTCTTCTTTGTGCCATTGCAATGCTCCTTGTGATATTTCCAATGTTTACCTTTCCAAAAAAGCTTCCTCCTCGACATAAAAAAAAGAAAAAGAAAAAGAAAATGAACTCTGATGATGTTTCAAGTGATGATGAAGTCATGAAAGAGAAAGCAAATAGCAAAATACAAGCAGACAGTGCAGTTCCTGCTTCTATGGGATTTGGAAAGAATGTTAAAGGTGAGGTTGTTTTTAAGTTTTAAATGCTTTACATTTTGTGTACAGGTTCATCTTCTAGGGTTGTATGAAGTGTATTTGGAGGCAGAATTTTTACCTGTTGTATTTAATACTATGTTTTGCTACTGATGGTCTTTTAAAGTTATGAAGTGCAGTTGTGAGGGAAGAAATACTTACACTATTGAAGTGTTTACGTGCACTAGTGACAAATAGGTGCTCTGTTTGCTGTAGTTATATGATTTTCCTGTTTGTCATATAACTGTATGGCCTCTATTACCAGGCACTTTTGTATACCTTGCTGTATGCTACTGTCATACTTGCGTAAGCTATTCTTCATACAAGAAAGGCTCTTCTGAAAAAGAAGCAAAACAAGTAAAAAGAACTCTAGTAAGTGAGTTAAATTACCTTCATGTATTTAAGCAAGTTAACTGGAACAGATTATTTTATTTCTCATGCATTTCCCGGCTTTTGTGTGTTGCAGGCTATTTATTTTTTGATGGCTAGGATGAATTTAATCTGTGCTAATTCTGAAATGACACGAGTTGAAAGGGTTGACAAGTAACGTGATTTTTACTTTATTCAAAGTGTAAAACCTTAATGTGAAATTTGACAGCCAGTAATAATGATTGATAAAATGCCATAGGAAGAAATGCACTGTATTAAAAATGAATTGGTACAAGCAAATAAATTAGAAATTTAGAGTGTCATCTTGAATAGTATAGGACAAGAATAAATGAACCTTAATGCCACTGTATTAACGATGTTGTTTTGCCCACCTTCGCTTCCATTATATGAATGCTGCCTGTGCCATCTTTATGACATTCTAATGCAAACGGAACTAAGAGAAATCACAAAATTAATGTATCATTTGACATACGAAATCATTTGTATTCATTTTTATGCATATGTATCATTGTTGCACTGGGGTGGGACAGTGAGATATGTGGAGAAGGACTGGGGGGTTCTGGTAGACAAAAAGCTTGATGTGAGCCAGCAATATGCACCTGCGGCCCGTAAGGCCAACAGTATCCTGGGCTGCTTCAAAATAGAGGCAGCCAACAGGGTGAGGGAAGTGATTGTCCCCCTCTATTCTGCCCTTGTGAGGCTTCATCTGGACTTGTATTGCATCTAAGCCTGGGATCCTGAGCTAATGGAACAGGTCCATAGGAGGTACAGATCAGAGGACTGGAGCATCTTTCCTATGAAGAAAAGTTGAGGGAGGTGGGCTTGTTCCTTCTGGAGAAGGGTGCTGAGGGGACCTCACTGTGGCCTTCCAGTACTTGAGGAAAACTTATAAACAGTGATAGGACAAGGGGGAATAGTTTTAAACCAGAAGGGGAAAGATTTAGGTTAGGTGTTATGAGAAAATTCTTAGGGAGTGGTAAGGCACTGGAATAGACTACCCAGACAAGTTGTGAATGCCCCATCCCTGAAGGTGTTCAAGGCCGGGTTGGATGGGGCCCATCTAGTGGTTGGTAACTCTGCCCACAGCAGTGGAGTTGGAACTAGATGATCTTTAAGGTCCCTTCTAACCCAAACCATTTTGTGTTTCTATGACTGATAGATATTTCAGTGGTGGGTTAATGATCACTCCTTATATTGAATGAACAAATCCTAGCAATACTCAAACTACTGTAATTTTGTTTGCCCACGTGCATATTGGTTTCCTTTATGTTGCATTTATATATATACTCCCAGGGTAATTGAAGTTACTATTAGCTCCTATAGAAGTAAAAAAGAAACAAGCGTTGAGACTATAATTTACTTATATTGTTGTATTAACTTACAAAAGAAAATCTTTTTAAGGCACAGAGTGAGTAAAGTAAATCTCCAGTATCAGAATTTCAGAACTACGTTCTGTGTTTGTCTCTTAGTGTAAGATACTGGTTCCTGGTCCAATAATCTGCATAGAATGGCTCTGAAAGTGATAGAAATGTGAGAAAAGCATGTTATGTACTTCCTTCTTTAAAAATGGTATTCCCACATTATATACTAGTCCTTGTGTGTAATGTTTTCTCCTAAATCCATGAAGCTAGTTGTGTTTTTATTTTTTTCTTTTTTTTTTTTTTCTTTCTTTTTTTCCCAATTCAATCTTAGAGGCTTTTGTATATCAAAAGCAGTTCTGGCTTTTGATGTTCACGATTTTCTCACTAACCTGGGGAAGTGGGAAATATATCAGTCCCTGATGGGCTTCTTCCTTAACAATTTCAGGTCACACAGCAGAGGGTCTGCTTTAGCCCATAGATGTGCATGGAAAAGATACAGGCTGTCAGTCAAACCCTGCATCTGGATGAGTTTGCTGATGTGGGTTCTCTGTCTCTGAACGTAATTTCACCTTCCAGGTCATGTTGTATGTTCCTAAAGTGTGTATCAGCCTAACTGCGTACCATACCTTCTACTAACAGTGTCCTTGGTTACAATATTAATTATGCTGCCAAATTAGAGCTCCTTTATGTACAAAACATTCCATTTTCTCTGAAGAAGGAACTTCAGAGTGTGGAACATTGAAAAACAGCATTATATTCCGCATGTCAGAAGGAGCCAAGTGAGTCAAGATAACACAGAGGAAAGTATTTTCCTATAAGCTGATAATAGCTTTTCCATTAGGTGTCATTTACCTTAGCAAAAAGAGTCTGTGGCAGGAGCGTGCTATCATTTAATTATTTTTCAAGTTTAAGTGGGCTTTATGGAATGACATCATGCCTCAAGCTTCTCAGTTGATGTAATTTCATTTATAATAGGAAGGAGAAATAATCACGTGTCGAAGTCATTTAGCATTGCTCCTTCTGAGATGCAGTGTTCAATTTATACTTCCCACTGAATTTCAGGGCTTTCTCTTTTTATAGAATGTTAGGCAAAAACTCCACTTAGGCAGTAGCCGAAAGACTGGTGATTTAGTAGGTCACATCTTCCATTCTGTACTAATAAATATCAGTGATGTCCTAGTCTGTCATGACAGAGGTCAGTGCCATTAACCTGTAAAATCTGTGCATCATTGCTAGGAAATCTCTCATGGAAGAAACTGTAATTTGATATTCTGATCGGACATTGTCTTAACTGGGAAGCTTTGTCCTGCTGTAATTTGTCCTAATTTCATGTAAATTAATTTGTTATGTGAATGAAAAGGAATTAATAAGTTGTGATAGGAGAGGGCTAGGGTTATTTTTCCTGAAGTGGATGCCAGGATAGACTGAAGATGTAGGACAGGATTGGTTCCTGTTGCAAGTGTCCTCCGACTTCAGTGACCTTGGCTTTATTTTGGTCTATAGACCTGGGATCAGATAAAAATCCACCTTTGATTTTCCCATATTTCAAGACACAAGGAGCAGGAATTCAATCTTTTCTATTTATGTTACAAGTAAGCAATATGAAGGAGAGTGCTTCTGAGGCAAGTATCAAAAGCATTAAATAGGTTGTAAGAGGGGGTTTTGCTTACTGGGAGAAATTGAGGTAGTATGAATAATATGAGACAGAGAAGAGATATGATAAAGAAGCCATAATTCAATCCCATACATGCAGATTAATCATGAACTTAAGTAAACAGAAGCACTGTTTTCACTTATTACGTGGATACCCTTAGGGTTCTGTACCATGGAAACTATGCAGTCCCTTTTACTTACCACTATAATGAAGCTTGCTGTGCAATTGGGTAAAGGAGCAGTTTAAATAAAGCAAATGCGTATATTACTCATCTGAAATATTCTGTTCCAAACTAAGAGGTGTTACTTCCATACGTTTTCTACTTTTTAAATTTTATTTTTAATTTTTCCTCCCAATAAGTAAACCCATGTTATCTGCAAGCCCAGCCCATGTGCAATTTCCCTGTCTGTCTTTTGTGTCTCCTAGCTGTCGTATGCCATTCGCAGTCAGTCCCTACCAGGCTTGAGACAGGATAATAATGCTTGTCAGGATATCACCAAAGGTAAAAGAAATTCCTGGGGATGTAAAGTACTCAAGTGCTCCCCTGAGGAAACCAGCTGAAGTTTCCCCAGTGCACCAAGAGCAGTCAGAGAGAATCAGCACAAGAGGAGGGGATGCTGGGCTGTGTGCCCAGGTGAGCCCTGTAAATGTCAGAGTTCAGGAGACCAAGGGCTGGGTTACCTGCCATGCCACTCACCTTAAGCACGTCACTCCCCCTGCTGCTGGCTTGTGTCATCCTGGAGAACTCAAAAATAGAAAATGTCACAGCCCTGCAGTGATGAGCAGCATTAGCTGGAGTTTGAGAAGCTGCTGGAAAGCAAGCAAAGAGTCACATGTGACTGAAAGTGTTAATTTCCATTCTGTTAAACAAAACCATGGATATTTGTAGCACCAAGAGGATGGTGCTATAGAGCTGGATGTTTTATTCCCCCAGTTGTATTCACTCTACTACCTTTGGCTGGTAAAGGAACCAGGCTAAAATAAAATAAAATAAATTGCAAAGGAGCTGAAGTTGGAATTAATGTTTTTCTTTAATTAGAATCCTGTTTCCATTCTTTCAGAGTTTTGTTGAGAGCAACATTTACAAATAATTCTATTGCTTGCAGATTTTTCATAGGCTTATCCATCAATCAAGTAGTGGTCCACCATACCAGTGAAAGAAAATGGATACTGGCTAGAGATAACATATTTTCAGAGAGCAGGAGGGGAAGAAAAGTGCTACTAGACTCTCAAATGAGTCCAGCAAGGCAGGTTCCAATTTATGTTTAGTTACATACTATGTTATTAAAAAAAAAAAAGAAAAAAAGAAAAAAAGAAAAATGTTAAGATTTGAATTATTGCACAGTAAACGTATTTGCAGACATACTAAATGTTTGTTTCAGTTTCAGGAATGTAATTGGCAGAGACTTATTTGTTCAAATGACAGAATGAGTTTTGTTTTTACTACACACTTGGAAAAATGAGAGATGGTTTTCGAAGGCCTCCTAAAAATCAGAACTTGACAGGTTTAATAATGACCTTGAGATGAAAGAGTAGGCCTACAGCTAGTCACGCAAAAATAATGTGACATTGAAATGGTTTAAATGCATGATTGATTATATAGTACAAAGAGCCTTTAAAGATTTTATCTTTCTTGCTTCTTATTGGAATTAATGTGGTTGGAAGATGTGAGATTATTGTGCCTTTTTATCACAAGCTTCAGGAGTTCTGTTGCATAGGATTTTACTGTAATTGTAGGAGGAAAACAGAGAAAACTGAATTCCGTGAAAGTATTTTTATTTGCCAGATTCTTCATGTGTAATAACTTTTCCTTATACGTTCAGGAATCGCAAAGAGCTCCAAGCCTGAGTTGCTGCAGGTGGTCTGTGTTAGTGCTGCATATTCTGTTTTATTTCCTGCCAGAAATTAAAATAATCAGAATTGTTCCCTGGAGAATCTTTCACGTGAGTTTAAGAGAACTTGTGCTTGTTCCAAGGCACTCTAATTTTTATCTATTTAGCAGTACAAATCCATCTCAAATGTACTAATTAGTTTTCAAATTAGAAATGACCTTTAGGCTAGGTGCTTAGTACCCTGAAAAATATAAGTAGGAGTTAACAGAAAGCACAGCTCTACATCAGAATGCCAGAGCAAAATGTTCATTAGCTCTGCAGTTGTTTACCTAATTATTTCTTTAGTATCTTTTGACTGAAAATTCTAAATCATACATTCTTGCGAAGTTCAATTTTTTCAGAAAGAGCTAAACTTTAGCAAGTATTATGATCCTTTAAAATTATGGATTTAGAAAAAATCTTGGACTTTAAGTTCTGGGCTAAAGACTTTCCGTTTCTGCAAAGACCACTAAGTTCATCATCATAATTAAATGACATTTCTCTCTGTAGTGTCCAATCTTCTGAAAGTTGCTATTGTCTTTCTTCTGCATTTATCCAGCACAAGTGAACAGCTCTCTGCTATACAAAGCCTTTTATCAGACTTACTCAAAGTCACTCTTCCACCAACTGCTAAGCTAGGTCGTTATTATGAGGTTGAAACATGAAAGGCTATTTTCTTCCTGAATATTTTTGGGTTGTTTATAACAATTTTATGTTTTTACATATATGTCATACACCATCCTAATAGCCACAAAGTCCAGACATTGCAGTAGATACCAGCATGGCTGAAACTAATGCCATTCGCTGTTAGTAAACAGGCACCTTCACTTTTGTAAAAAGTTTTCAGTAGTGTATCTTTTTTAAAATTTTATTTGCTACAACTTTGGCAGAGAAGGTAGAGCTGAAGAAACATCTGCTCTCTGTAACTACCTGATTGGAGGTTGTGGTGAGCTGGGGTCGGCCTCTTCTCTTGCGTAACTGGTGATAGCACTAGAGGGAATGGTTTCAAGCTGCACCAGGGGAGATTTAGGCTGGACGTTAGGAAATACTACTTTTCTGAAAGAATGGTCAGGCACTGGAATGAGCTGCCCAGGGAGGTGCTGGAGTCACCGACCCTGGAGGTGTTCAAGGAACGTTTGCATTTTGTGTTGAGGAACATGGTTTAGTGAGAACTATTGGTGATGGGTAGATGGTTGGACTGGATGATCTTGTAGGTCTTTTCCAACCTTGGTGATTCTGTGATTCTGTGAACAGAGATGTCTCATCTATTTTCTGCATCTGAAAATGGAAAATTTTATTCTTGCTCAGCCAGTGTTGACACACAAAGAAGCTGGTAGGGGCCAACATGGAGTCTTAGAAGATGTTTATTTGGTTTTCCTAACCAAAGTTTTTACTCTTTTTGTTCTTCATTCCTCTTCATATGAGAGAAAAGACCTCGTAGATGAAGATGTGTTTGTTTACGGCTGGTATCCTGCATTTGTTAGCTCTGGCTCTGCTGTAATGAACTGCCTCACTTAGCTTGTGGTCTCACTGCCACCATTTCTGTCATCTCACAGTGAGAGCTGAGTGCTGCTGCCCAAGTTTCAAAACACTCAGTAGCTCAGTTTTCAGCAAAATCAATCCTGGCACTCTCTTTTGTGATTCCTTTCATCCAGTGGCAACAACACAGTTATAACTACTTGCTGCCGTTTCTTGGGAATGGCAATAAGTCCCATGCCACGTCTCTAGGGAAATGTTGCAGCAGCTGTCCTGTGTCAGCCATTTTCTTAAACTGCATCATCTTGCCCCATGAGAGGCTTTGCAAAAGCATCTTGGCTCTTGTTTCTTTGGTTTCTTTTTGCATCTGTGCCCTCACTGGCTAATCCAACGCAATCCAACCCCAAAATAAAAGCAAAATCTGGTGAGATTTGATGACTAATGTTTTTTTTATACCTTTGATGTTTTTTCTCTTTCATTTCCTCTTGAATAATGAGATTCATTTTGATCATTTGTATTTTGAATGTGTTATATCTGGTAATAAATACTGATAAAGTTTCATTTTGTTCTTGCTGCTCTCATGCAGTTTCAGCTGATGTACAGCTGTATCACAAGCTCCCATATATTCACAGTGATATTGTATTGCCACATACTTGTGTTTTCCCTTTTTTTTTCTCTTTTATACTATTGTAAACGGTGCTATAATAATTAAAAAAAAAAAGCAGTAAGTGATCAAAAATACTAAGATTCAAATATATGAGTGCTTCTTAATAAGACTTATTCATTACTTATTTCCACCAAATTTAGTATTTTTCTTCATAGAGGCAGCAAGAGAGCATTTGACTACATTAAAATGATAAACTCTGTTTGCACAATGAAATCAGTATAATTTTTGACAACTGGCATAAGCTAAGACTGGATGCAATCAGACAACCGCAGTGCTAATTTGCAGTCTAACAAGTTCTGACATGATGGGAGCCTAAACTCTGTTTGCTTTTATATGCATAACCTGCTGAAGTCCATGGAGTAAGTGACACAGATTTGACTTGATGACTTTTAACATCAGTAACATTCTCACACAGCAGTTTTGCTGTTCTGCACTTATTCAGCTGTTTATTTCTAATGAATGGTCATGTCATTGACTTCAGTGGGCTCTGGTTCAGGCAGTGTTCAGTTCTCGTGAAAAGTTAATGAAAAAACTCAGATCTTATTGGGCTGAATATACTTGTCATGGTTGGACACAACATGTGATCTTGGTATTAGCCCCAGGAGAAGAAAACCCAACCATTATTTAAAAATTATGCCATGTAATCTGAAAAAATTAACTCTTAAATAGAGTTATCATCATTTTGTGATGATAACTTGATATCACTATAGGACTGGATTAAAAGTACTCAAGTGCTTCTTATAATGACAGTTCTGAATTTCATGGGGTTTTGATATTTGATTTGAGGGTAATTACAACAGCTGTGAATGGTTTTTAAATTTAAGCTAACGATATGTGCTCATTTTTAATTGATTATTTTATTATCTCTTCTGGGAACATTAGAGTTGTGTGAGTTGTAGAGTTGTACATATGTAATGTACATTGAGATTCATTTATATTGACATCATTTTCTCAGTATGCTTTGTCTGCATGCACTGCAAATATTTTTTAATCATGTATAAAAATTTGTAGTCTAAAATCTTTTGTTTTCCTTTTCAAATTATAGTAATATTATCCCACTTTTCCAATGGTGGTCCTTTAAGCAGAGAGCTGCAGAGGTGTATGGGATTGTTTTTCCTCATGTGGAGTGCAAAATTCAGTATTGTTTCAGTAGTAGGTTGTGTGTTATCTCCTAGAGAACTTCAAAAGAAGACATCAGAACAATTCCTGATTTTCTTCTTTTTCTTACTGTTTTTCTCTGCTCTTTACTGTTACTGCGTAGGTCCTGTTTCTTCAGACAGTGTTGTTAAAACAGATCTCTGTTCTGTTTGTGAAAAATGGGACTGCAGCCCCAGGCAATGCAGTGAGATAGTGTAAGAACAAACAGCAAAGAGTGCAATGCAAAATATGCACTCTCCCTTCCGCTCAGCAAATGGAGCCAGATGCTAGCAAGCCATTATTTACAGTCCATCTCAAAGGAAATCAATTTGTTTTGTTCCAATTTGCTTTTGTTTTTCACTCATTATTTATAACATTCATTTGTCATTTTTGTCATTTTATAGAGCTTCCACGGGCAGCTGTCAGGATCTTAAGCAACATGACATTCCTTTTTGTGAGTTTGTCATACACAGCTGAGAGTGCCATTGTTACAGCTTTTATTACCTTCATTCCCAAGTTCATCGAGTCACAGTTTGGCATCCCAGCATCCAATGCCAGCATCTACACTGGTAAGGCATTGCCAATGAGTGTAACATTGCAAGGGTTGTCGTTCTTTGGCTGATGAAATAAATCAGTATAGGAATTAACTGAAAACATGGCTTTTAGGAAAGGTGATTTGATCCATCTTTGTGTGCTGGTTTGGGTATTCAGGCTGTTTGTTGATGTTTGCTATATTTTTTTTTTAGTAATGTGAACCAATTTAAATTGTTTGAAGGCTCTCAGTGTTTGTGTGTGCAGACACTGACCTTTTATAATACGTTAATAGCCTGTAGGGGGAAAAAAAAAAGCGAGAAAAGCAAACTAGAAAACCCAGGAGCGTTACTGTGATGTGTGTGGCTTAAAAGTCTCTTACGTGTTGTTATTTGATGTGAATTTTACTTCCTTTTTGATCTTGAAAATGTGCTAGCCTTTTTTTCTCCCTGGGGACCATTTGTTTATCCTCCCTCCCCTTCCCTTCCTCATCTCCCCCCCAGGTGCCTGTGCCCTTCTCCCCATGTCTCTGCCACCACCAAGCACCCAGCAACACGGCCTAATCGGGATGGCTCCCCAGGCCCTGATATTGCTGGGGCCCTGCTCTGGCAGCTGTGCCACTTCCTCTGCTGCTGCAGTGTGTGGCTAAATCCAATGCCTCCTTCAGCTTGGGAGTGTCAGTTCTGTAGCAAAGAGGGATGGCCTTCAGCTGCAGCTTCCCTAGAGCAGGGGGCCAGATTCTTGTTCAGAGTCATATCTATGGCATGCAGATCATCATGCTTCTCTCCTAGCTACATCAGAGGCACTCGTCTCCATCTCTTCTTTTCCTTTTCTAAGCATCTTTTTGCCTTCTCCTTACTCATAGAATAGCTGTTCATTGCTAATTCTCTGCTCCTCCATTCTTTCAGATAATACGCCTGACAAGGTGCAGTGGGGTGGAGAGTGAGTTGTGGGAGTGAAGGTGAGGTGCAAGGAGAAGAAAAAAGGCAGCAAGAGAAAGGGGGACAAGTCACTAAGACACATGGGAATCATTTGTCACCTACAGTTTGTGGAAAAAATCCAGAGTCTCTCTAGAGTGTGGAGGAGAAGCATTAGAGAAGTACCATGAGTTGACTTCTGTTTGCAAGCTTGCTGGAGTGAGGGCATGAAATCCCTGTGTTCTGTACATAAGGAGAAAATTTGATTGATGGAACCAAGGTTCTACTTGAAGTTTAGGCTATCTGCAGGCCCATAGGAGTTTGCTGTTTTCTAGGAAAACCTGGAAAAGGAAACTTGGAGATTCTGCATTAAATTATATTAGTTAATTTAATAAATAACATAACTAGTTTACAAAATTTTCTGGTTAGCAGAAGGAGGACTTGCAAATTATTCATATATCTGCATCTGTACTTCATATATACATATATATATATTATCATGCTGAATCTCCTTATATGTGAACAGTAAGAGTTTTGTATTAGTTATTTTGCATGCCACTGCATAAGCAGCAGTTTCTTAACTAAGTTTCAATTTATTTCTATTTTTAAACAAACACAGCACTGATCAGCAGCAAAAATTCTATGTGTCAAATTTTACAACTTGAACTTCTGCAGCTTGTGCTAAAATCTTGACTTGTTTGTAGTTGGGTTTAATTTTGACTTGAAGTTGCAGATAGATATTAGATAAATACACAAATACAAAAAATGTTATGTGCTTTGATAGAAGATTTACTTGTGAAAGAGTTACAATTCAAATAACTTGTAATTGGAAGATCTGCTGTATTGCAAAGCCCTGTTCTGGTAACTTCTGCTAAAATGAATACAAATACATTGGATCTACCATTAGTTTTAGGAAAGATGTAGGGTGTATCTCAAACAGAATCGCTTTGAAAATCTCTAGCTATTCCCTTTGGAAGTACAGCTCTGTTAGCAGATATTGCAGTTTTCTGTTAGCAGACTATTAGTAACTGTTAAGATCATCTTTTGCCACTGTGGAAAGCCTCAAGTGCTGCAGCATCCTGACAACAGCAAAAAGGACAAAGCCTGAAAATTGCTGACTGAAAGCTGATACTGCCTTGGAGCACTGTACCCAGGAGATTTTTTGGCACATGCACAATTCCTGAAAGCCAAACTGTCATTATGAAATGAAGGAAAGTGCAGTGCAACGGCTTATATCAGATCTTAAGCTTTATTCTTCTAAATGGCTTTGAAAATGAAGAATGCCTGTCCTGATTAGATGTACATGCTTGGCTTTGCCCTGCAAGCTCTTCTGGAAGTGCACTATAGTAGCAGCGTGCCTTTGACAGTATATCACTTCTGATTTCACATCCCCTGCAGAGGAGGAGAGGAACGCAGGGATGAAGAATTTGAGCTTGGGGCAAAAGAACTTCTCAGGCTTCCTGACACACAGAGAGGAATGAGTGCTTCTGTCTGCTGCTAAATCTGCTCCTGCCCTTCAAGTTTCTCCCACAGAAAAGTTTTTCCATCCCCTGTGCCAGTTTGCATGGAGGAATATTTCTTTCTATGTCCTTTCTGTAGGTTTGGCTTTACTTTTTTGCCTTCCTGAATGAGAGGCAGCCTTGGTGGGCAGTTTGTTCATGCTCATCTCCTCTTATTTATGTTCTGTTCTTCATGGTGTGGCAAAAGATGGCTGCAAACAGAAGCACAGAATGACTCATAATGGAAGACCCACTAACTTAATTCCTCACAAAATACATACATGTTTAGTTTCGACAAGGTGCTAGATGCACATGATGTTGGTTCTAATGAAAGGCTTTTCCAGTACATTCAAGAGAATAAGACAGAAAATATAAATTCTGGTCCAAAAGATGTTAAAAACTCAAAGCTATGTAAGGTGGAAGGAAAAATAAAAAAGATTACATTCAGTAAGCCTATACCTGGCCTTAGTTCATGTAACTGGTATAGCCAAAGTTTGGTCAATGGAATTTGATTCATCTGACACAGATGTTTTAGAAGACATCACAAGCAATTTCAGTCTATGTTTGGTGGGCACATGGGCTTCTTGTAGCATGGCAGGCTTACATGTCTGAGTTCCCACTTTCATCTAAAGAGAAGATTTTCAGAGGCAGCAAAAGGATTGGCATTTCTTTCCCTTGTTCATATTCAGTCATTGAAACTTGGGAGAGGTTACAGCTTTGAACTCTGTGAAAATAATTTAATTCTCCTCAAAGGACTTAGAAATTTAAGTTCTGTTCTTTTGAGAAAGACTTTTTGATTCTGTGAAGGGTTGTTATTAAGAATCTTCCTCATGAAATGACGCTTTATAATGCCATTGGTGATGAAGTATAATTCAGGTGGCAACTATTTTTACGTCTTATTTTTACTTTCACAGTTCTCAAAATTTTGATAAATGTAATATCTCCTTTACCTTTAGACAAATTAGCAGAGAATGAGAATGCTTTGCAGTATTATTAAAAATATTTTGAAGTAATTCTTTAAGAATTTGTATAATTAACGTAGCTCTTTCTCCTTAGACAATGCTGCCAAAAGTTATTCAAATTCTGTATTTATATAGAATGCCTTTATTAACAAAGGCCTTATTTCTCTTGTGTTATTGGGAAGCAAAGCCAATGAGAAGCTTGAAAGAAATTCTCTCACTTGACTACACCTCTGGCCCTGGGAAGTAAGGACAGCCCTGTGACATAACTGCCAGACAGCCACCATAAAGCAGCAGCAGCAATGACAGAAACTTAATAGACATGTATTTTGTAGCTTAAACTTACAGTGTTTGATTCTAGGATCTCAATTTCTTCATTCACGTTTGATCAGTTGACACATTGAGTGGTTGCGCTGGAATGAATGGGGCTTCTGATGTAGGAAGGCGCTGTTTCACTCGAGCCAAGCTAGCACAAGGCAGAACTCTCAGCCAGCTGCATGCATGTGCTGCCAGGTGGACAGGCTTCAGGGGTTCTGCCCTAGGTTAGCATCTATGCTTCACTAGACTTAATCATGAGAGTAGGAAGAGGAGGATGAATGTCCAAATTTGGATTTCTTCACATTTTTAGTGATTAGGAGCAATGTGTGTCCCTTATCTGCATGCTGAAATAAATACAAAGCAATGTTTCTGCTTGTTAATACAATAGTTCTCTTATAGTGCTTTGGCTGCTGGTAATATCATAAGGAAGCTTTTATTAATTCTTGGACAACGCTCCAGAAAAGTCTGACTCAGTTTGCTAGCTAGCAGAGAATCAGACAATGGAGATCTTAGTGCAACATTTGTAATCATCTAGTTAGGGAACTAAACAACTACTATGTTATTATTTATGCTATTTCTGTAGGTCCTGTTTTAATGTCACTCAAATTTCTTCCTGGCAGGTGTAATAATTGTTCCAAGTGCTGGTGTTGGTATTGTCCTAGGTGGCTACATTATCAAAAAACTGAAACTTGGTGCAAGAGAGTCTGCAAAGCTGGCCATGATCTGCAGTGGTGTGTCTTTGCTGTGTTTTTCAACTCTCTTCATTGTTGGATGTGAAAGCATTAATCTAGGGGGAATAAACATACCTTATACGACTGGGTAAGTACCTTTGAATCAGTGGAGTTTTCCAATAAACCTGGTAACAAAATGTAAATGCTGATGGCTGACATTCTGAAGAATCCGCACAATCAAATTGGGATATGATATTATAGTATGAGCACATACTGTGTGGTCCTTTTTTACATCTGGTTTGTAATGAAGCCTATGCAGTAACTCACCTCTCTGATGGATGGGAAAATATGTTAGAATGGACTTCAGTAATTTTCAAAGGAAAACACTAATACGGTGTATACATTGCTCAGAATTTAGTGTTTCGGAATGCTTTCTGTTTATGAAAATTGTGAAAATACTAAAGAGATTGTAATGTTTATTTCTGAATAGGTTTGTTTAATACCTTAGGTCTTGAGTCTTCTTGGGCATATGCCATTGATGTTAGTGGTGTGCACTGCTTCTGAACCCCTTACAAGTTGTACAAACACCATCCATTTCTTGCCAGGGATGCTGACCTGAATATAACCTTTAAAAAAGACTGTCAGAAAAAATAAGATACGGATGTGGGAAGATAGTGGATTTAGGCTGTGACATCAAGAAAAATAAAAAAGGATATTTGGAAGCAAGAAAGTGTAGTAAAATTTGTGAGAATATTATCTCCCTAGAAAGTAGTTTCAAGGAATCCTGATCATGAATGTTTTTTACTTTCTTATTAAGCACATTAACTTCTTGTTAAAATTCCTTTCTTCATATAGCTTAAAAACAGGAACAAACTAAGAATTTGAAGAGTGCAAACCTATCTGAAGCAGTGTTTTTCACTTTGCTTCTACATCTGAGACAGTGTTTGCCTGTTAAATAAGACTGTTGGGTATCAAAATCATTTGAATGTCTTGCTTTCAAAGCTCTCTCAGCTTTGTGTGTATAATTTTGAGGATTGGAAGAGACTGGGAGAAATGTAGGGCAGGAAAATAGATAATCAGATGGATGAAAAAGAACTGAACTGGGGCAGTGAGGAAACCAAATGAAAAACACAGAAGATGAATGGGAAGCAAGGGAAGGAGAGAATAGGACAGTTTACACAAAGAATATTTTGCATTGCCTGATGCTATGTGTTACTGAGTTGCTGTCAAATGATAATTGTAGGGCAAGGAGCAAGAGAAAGCCATGAGCTGATGGAAGGCTTGTGTGCTCATTAGTTTTCTTAATAACCTAGAGTGAAAGCTTGATGCCAGAGGGCTAGCTCTGGAGTGGAGTAGCATAGATGATGAATCCTGGTCTGAGAATAGGGAAAACAGAAAATGGGAATAGAAGGTGGTTAGAACACCTTGACTGTCCATTGTCTGGTGATGTTTATTGTCAGCCTGGGGGAATAGATGAAGAAAGGAAAATTATTAAGAAATGAAATGTAAATTTTATTGTTCCCCTACTCTCCATCTACTCTTCACTCCTGATGCCCGATCTGGAGTACTGTGTCTGAGTCTGGGGTGCCAGCACAACAAAGCTAATGGAACAGGTCCAGAAGAAGCAAAGATCAGAGGGCTAAAGCACCACTCCTGAGAAGGAAGGCAGAGGGAGCTGGGCTTGTGCAGTCTGGAGAGGAGAATGGTCTGGGGAGACTTCATTGTGGCCTTCTAGTACTTACAGGGAGCTTATAGACAGGAGAGAGACCAACTTTGCACAGGAAGATAGTGACAAAACAAGGGGGAATTGTTTTGAACTAAAAGAGAGGAGATTTAGATTAGATACTAGGAGGAATTTTTTTACTCAGAGGGTGGTGAGGCACTGGAACAGTTTGTCTGGAGAAGCCGTGGGTGCCCCATCCCTGGAGGCATTCAGAGCCAGGTTGGATGGGGCTCTAGGCAGCTTGAGCTGGTGGGTGGCAGCCCTACTGCAGGAAGGGGTTGTTAACTGTATGGTCTTTAAGGTCCCTTTCAACCCAAACCATTCTGTGATTCTCTGAAATTTTTTGGAACTACTAACTGAACTGTGGAACATGAGAATGTCCCTGTCTGGTTGATGAAAAGGCTGCTGTTTTCTGCCAGTGAAAAGGTTATTTAGTTTAAATCTATTTCTAAATCAAAATCAGGTAAAACTGTTGTTACTGGAACATTCAGATTAGAATTGTAAGTGCATCTAATTCATTTCTGTGGTAATAAATACATGAATTGAAACTGAAGTCTCTTCACAGCTGTTCTGCAAGTATAATCACATTAGTTCTTGACCACCTTCATCTAATTCTTCTTACTGGTACAAAAGATGAGACTTAGTAATTACAGATTTTTGTAAAGTACTGATGTGTGTCAAGTCTTTAAAATCAGTATAAAAATCTGTGCTTAGACTAATGTCATCAGAAACTGAGAACTGCTAGCATGTGATAAAGCAGGATTCACGTGTCTGAAGCCTCAGCTCTGTGTAAGTTTTCTAGTGCAGAGATAAAAAGGGGTTAAAGATGGTAATAAATAAGCAGTACTAATTATAAATTCACTAATTATAAATTCACCTATAAAATCACCTAAATGTGATGTGACAAATATTCTTTTGTTCATTGTGGTCAATCATATAATTTACTTAGTAAGGAAGTCTTCTACTCAAACATCGAAGAAGGTAATTTTTATGTAACAAAAAATCATGCTTTCATTTTGAGGTTTAATAAAACAGATACTTTGTTCTCTAGCTCCAGTGCTGTTCAGTGTGCATCATTGTACATGCTGTACATTGTACATGCTGTACATTGTACATCAAAGCCCGTTCAGCATGCCTAGATGAGAAATGGGAAACACTACAGCTGGTTTGGTTCAGGATAAATCATCGTCCACGATGCTCTGCCTTACCATGACTGTGCCGGGTCTGATGTCTGGGCTACCTGCTCTGGCAGCAGCCTGAGGATCTCAGCTGCATTGGGCAGTATAGACATACCATACAGCACGGACATATCGTGGAGTCTTCTTTGGACTAGTATGTTTAGTTCTACTTTCTTCTTGTCTTACATTTAAAAAGGTAGTTTTTTTTCCTTTGATGAACTGAGACAAGCCAGTATAGAAGAGATAAATAAGTTGGGTTTTAGTTAACATAGAAATATGTGCAAATCAGTAATCAGAGATGTAGGCAGTGGTATGTCGTAATTCAGAATGTTTCATAACTCAGTATTTTTCTCACTGTACCAGCTCAGGGACCCTGGAGGTGCACACAGATTAGAATACATTTGCAAAAATTCTCTGCTTTTTTATGCTGGAGACAAGCAGTTTTTCTGTTGTTGGTGTGTCATCAGCAGTTCTGCTATGAGGAAGGTCAAGGACACCTCTGCTTTGTACATCTCAGCATTTCAGAATCTGTTGTTCGGTTCCTCAGCCTTGTCTCTGAGGGTGTGTTTGATATTTGATATAATGAGCCTTGTGCCAAGCTCTGCTGTCTGGCAACCATTCTCTTGCATCATAATAAACATCTGAATGGGAAGTCCTAAATCTGTGAATGGTCTCTATTTGCACAGCACAGAAGTGCTTGCTGAGGTTCAGATGGAACCTCCTGCGTTCCAGTTTGTGCCTATGAACTCTTGTCCTGGCATTGGTCACCACTGAAAGGACGCGGACTCCATCCTCTTTGCACCCTCAATTTGGATAGATTTATACGCTGTTGTGATCCCCACTGAGTCTTTTCTTCTCTGGTGTGAACAGCCCCAGTTCCCTCAGCCTCTCCTCACTGGAGAGGTGCTCCAGTCCTTTCATCACCTTCAAGACCTTTCACTGGAATCTCTCCAGTACATCCAAGTCTCTCCTGTGCTGTAGAGCCCAGACCTAGACCCAGCACTCCAGGTGTGATCTCACAATTGCTGGCTAAAGAGGAAATAGCAGAGAACAGCTGCTTTGGAGGTTTGTAGACTTGTTCTTTCCATGTTTTGAGATATTAAGTAACTAAAACAAGCTCCCAGGGAGCTCATAATGACAGATTCCGGGATTATTTCAGTTCCATCTCTCATATTTCTGGCATGTATTCAATCAAAACAGTTCCTTCTGATTGCTTTCTGTCGTTTTAGTATAATTAAAGTTTAATTAAAGCATGTAATTGAGTTACTGAGGCACTTTATATAAGAAAAAAGAGGAATTCTTCCTCTTGTACTCTTAGTTTGTGTTTCTGTTACCCTTGTATCTCTTTCAGACTTATCAGATCTCTTAATTTAGAATCAGTGACTAATTGGATCAGAACAATGACAACAAAGAAGGAATCCAACTAACGCAGTGAGAGGGTCCCTTGTTTGACAGCTACACAAAATTTGCTTCATTGCTGCAATTTCAGCTGCTTGCCAAGTAGAAGCTGCAGATCTCTGCCTTTCAGAACATCCTAGGCCTTAAAGCTTCAATACCAAACCAAAAACATTGCCACCAAGTTAGCTCTTTTGGTCATATAGCTCAATTTTAAGGTTAGAGAAATTGTGAGAGATTTTCTTCTCTTGTTTGTATTTCCTTCCTTAGTGTACGATAATGTTGGTTACTGCAGCAGTCCAAATAATATTAATAAAAGCATGTCCAAAGCAACTCTCTGTTTTTAGATGTTACCAAAAGATAGTCAGGCATTGGTTTTGTTTATCTTCATTTCATTTAGACTGTAGTTTCATGGATGAAGGTCCACCTTTTTCCAGCATCTGTGCATAAACTGCCAGCATAAATGGGGTCTCAGGACAAGTCTGAATATCTGAAATAACAGGTCACAGCTCTAAAGATTCCAGACAGTATGTCCTGCCTTATTATTTCCCTTTTCTTGCTTTATTCTAAAGCCACAAGCCTTCCACAGAGCAATGGTTGTAGAGGAGAACAGAATTTAGACAATGTTAGGAACGAGAGTTGCTTTTTTCTTTTTTTTTTTTTTTCATCAGCCTCATCTAATAAAGGTCTTCTCTTCATTATCTTTACCAATAGTGAGTCATGGAGACACAGAACAGTCTCCCTGAGAAGGGAGCAAATGCAAAAATTGAGTTTTATCCTTGCATGTTTAACAAACCTGAAGTTAAATGAAAAGAGCAGAGTCACTGCCTGTAATTGAAAGAATAGTTCTGGCAATGTGTCTTTTGGGGCTGGTCTCTGCCTTTCTGTGACGGATGTCTCAGATGAAGCAACACTGTGGGTTGACAACATCTGTGCCACTGACACAAGTGGGGCAGGTGTTCCTCATATATTCCATGTATCTATTGCAGTGGATGCACTGAAAGTAAGCTGCTTTTTTTCATGGCACAGCTCACGATCAGGACTTAATAGCTCTGGTTCAATTTACTTAAGAACCTGCTTTCTCTGACCAGTGCGGGTAAATCTGTGATGTGCTCTGCAGCAATTCAGAGCTCACTGCTCTGTTTTCCTTTGGTGAAAGTAGGCAGCCTCCTAGTGTCAGAAGATGCTGGTTCAGCTTAGTGATGTGAAAATATGTGCTTCTACTAGTGGGAAAGGTATTCACAGAGATCTGTCATAATGTGTGCTGCTATATAGCAGATGATACATGATGGAAATGGGGTTACATGCATTTTTGTCAGTAGAGATTTCAAGTCTTCAGCATCCGTAGTCCTTCATTAGTTTCCGATCATTAAAAGAGGAATGAACAGTGGATGAAGACTGAAGGTAATAAAGATGAAAAGACTCTTAAAAATGTCTACTAATGAGCTTTTTGAAACAGCTAATGGCTGATTTTTTTTTTCTATTACACATTCTAGAGAGAATAAAAAAAATCTCTTTTTACACAAGGCATTTGTTTTAAGCAGCAAAAAAAAAAGGCAAGCAAATACCCACAATAAACCATACTGTAATTTATTTGTACAAGAGGTGATGAAAGCTGGGGAGACACCTTGCAGTAACTTGTTAGTAAGTTGAACGTATTTGCTTTGCGTATCTGTAAAGTTAAATCTTCTTTCCGGCAAAATAACGAAGTCCCTAAGATTAAATTTTCACAGCACTCTCAGTTCAGTTTCCGGGTTCATGCTTCTAATTTCTTGCATGCCTAATTTCATTCACCTTTATTTTTAAGCTGATTTCCTAACCTGTGTGTCATACTAATATTTAGCAATGCAGCTCAAGTGAGCGGACTATGTAAGCGGAGCCACTGGGAAGCAGCCCCAAAATCATCTACTGCTGAGACAGCTTTAATGAGAAGGGATAAGAGGTCAGAAGAATGCATTTTATGGAGTGAGAAAGGCTGGAGAGGGGAATCTGAGCTGTGCCTTTCCTGGCAGCCTCAGATGCCCTTGGTCCTGTCCACAAGCTGGAAGCCAGGGCATCATCACGAGGGTTTCCTGCACACAGGTTGGGAAGCTCTGCTTACCCCAAATATTTAGGCATCTGGGACATCCAGCTCAGCAGGCTGCCAAGGAGCTTGTCAAAATCAAAAAAATGCTGCCTCTCCTGTTTTTGTGTGATAAAATACTGTCACATCATTGCTGAAGTCAGTATGTTCATGAGAAATATTTTGGCGATTTGGATGTTTTCCACCAGACAAAAAGTTCTGTTGGGAAATTACTGGAAAAATCTGTCTGGTGGTGTATGACATGTTGCTTCATATTGCTTTCTGAAATCCAGCATGATATAATGAGACAGGTTTCAGCTGATAGCTGGGAAGGCAACAGAGACAGTATCAGTCCTGGATATTTAATTTCCTGCTCAAGCTGCAACGTTTCTAAAACTGTACCTTGTTTGTTTATGGCACGAGGAAGAAAACACTCAGAAAGGCTTTGGTTAACATCCAACTAGACCACAAAGTGCAAAGTAGCTCCAAGAGCTAAATTTGTGGACCTGATTTGTGTAATCAGTAGACAGTCAATAAATATTTAAAAGGCACTTAGCAACATTAGATCAGCTGCAAAAGTGCACAGCTGGAAAGACAAGCATATTCAGCAAGAGCAAATAGTGTTTAAATACATTAGAAACGAATCAGGTGGAAGTTACAAAGCAGCTGTCGTACCACTTAGCATCACTGATGATGGGAGGTGAGGTGACAAATAACATGGATAACAAGCATTATGTGTGGAGTGTTCCTGAGCCAAGCCTCTGATCTATTTGGGTATGGAAGATGGGAGCAGAAGAACATCCCTTATTGTCCACGGTGTTGCTGGGAAACAGTAAGTCTGATGGTAGCTGTTTGCCTTTACAGCTGTTGTAGCTGAGTATTACAGAGCTAAGGTAAGCAAACAGCAGCCCCCAAACCAGTTCAGATTCTTGTTCAACTCCTGCATGGCTGAGGAGGTGCAAACATCCTCTGGATACCTACTGTTCTGTTTAGAGAAGACACTTGAGCTGGCTTGAAACAGCAGTGGCCTCTCTGTGGCATCACTGAGCAATACCAACAGCAGGGCAAACAGGGCAGCACAGTTAATCCAATATTGCACTGCAGTGCCTGGTGTGGATGCTATGCATACCAACATAATTCCCAGGGCAAGAGTTTTGCTTACAGCACATATGCTAATACCCATGCCCTAATGGAGCTCAGTATCTACTTTGTGTTTAAAAGGGCCAAACTGCCATTTCTGACAGAAGTTCAGGTCTTCTGGGTTGGATTGCGCTCAGAACACAGGAGAGGGTAGGATGGTACCTGCAGCCCCCTTTACCACTGATGAAGGTATTGTTCTCCTGAAGTTGTAGATTTTCATTAATGTATTCTAATGTCTGGGAAAAACCCAGTAAGGCAAACTGGACACCTTGCATCCAGCACACTGGAACTCATATATTTACACTGATTCTAATTGTTACAGTCTATTTTTAATTTATGAAGAAACAATGAGTATCCACTTTACCTTTCTTTAACTTTATTTTTTTAAACTTTGTTAGTATACTACCAGGATCTGTATATGAATTTATGTAGGTGTTTTATTATTCTCTTTCAGTGAGGTTGATATGTCTGCTAATGTTTTTCCTCATAGAATCACAGAATCCTTAGAATTGGAAGGAACCTTTCAAGGCCATCTAGTCCAACTCCCCCCCCAGTGTACAGGGACATCTACAGCTAGATCAGGTTGCTCAGAGCCCTGCCCAGCCTAACTTTGAATGTCTCCAAGAAAGAGCATCTACCACATCTCTGGGCAAGCTGTCTCAGTGCCTCACCATCCTCACTGTAAAAGACTTTCTTGTCCTTTGCTTTGCACTCCAAGCCCTCACCATACCCAGAAGCATTAAAATTCCCCTGCCACCATGGTCATTGCTTCAGGGCAGGAAGCAGCTGGGTCACTCTCCTAGTAGTTGTTCCGAGAGCTGGCAGTTTGAGAGTGAGTTGTTCTAGGCAGCGCTGGAATGATGTGGTGGACCAGGCATCAGGTGGAGGAATTGATCACCATCCCACTTTGTGAACTGGAATCAAAAAATCAAAACCTCTGTTAGTACCATCTGACCATCAGTTGTAAGCAGAGCTGATTTCTTTCTACAAGTAGCAAAAAGTAGCATTTGACCAGTGTGCTTTTTAACATCTGATGATGAATCTGATGATGATGAATCTGTGATCTTATGCGTATGGATTCTGCTATTACTGCCTGTGCCACTTCTGGATTGAGCTGCTGCGGTAGCGCTGGTAAAGCAGTGCCACAGTGGGATAGATTTTTTTTGACAGACTCTCCATTCTGGGTGTGAGCTGCACACTGGAACTCACTGGTTCTGAGCTTACAGCTACACTCTTTGTGAGAGAACTCTGAAAGTTGGGCTTTGGTTGTATCTCGGGGAAAAGTCCAGGGAGATGGCATAGTGGCTGTTTTCGAGATGTTTAGTAATAGCATGGTGATCTTCCATATGTAGAAGATCAGGGAGATTGTTGTATTTTTCAACTGTGCATATCAGTAATACAAGCATTACCTTTCTGGAGCAGTTGGTATGTGGGAAGAGATGGCTAATTAGTTCACATAATGCTCACATCTCATCACTGGGCTCTTCTCTACTAATCAACAGCAAATTGCTGCAGCTCACCTTGTATAAAATGTCTTAACTCTTAAAAGGAAAAATAAGGAGAATAAAATATAACACTCACACAAATGATGTACAAGGTTTAAACTTTGGAATTACTTCTATATTGTTCTTTCAGTTGTTGGCAGAGATATCTAAGGCTTTCATCTGAGCAAATCATTTTTCAAATCAAGCATATGACCTAGGGTTAATGCAGTCTTTCTGTAATCATCAAGTGTAAGTTCCAATGTTAATGAGTAGGATTTTTTCTCTTCTGAACAGCAGGATACCTGTGCTTGCTCTACTAGCATGTTCTTTTTCCTTTTTTCAGTCCCACTCTTGCCATGGCCCACAGGAATCTCACTGGGAGCTGTAATGTGAACTGTGGATGTAAAATTCATGAGTATGAGCCTGTCTGTGGATCAGATGGAATAACGTATTTTAATCCATGCCTGGCTGGCTGCATCAATGGTGGAAACCATAGTACAGGGGTAAGTCCTTCACCCACCTACCTACAAACATGAGTGGCCCATCAGGACTGGAGCAGATTGAAGACTGCTCTGTTTCTAGAGCCAACATCTATCCTTGAAGCATGCAGTCTTTTCACGAGTTCATCAATGTTATTCTTAATAGTAGTTGTGTATTTTGTTCTTGTTGTCGTTTCCTCTTTGAATGGAAGGAAGAACTTAACTCTTCTGGTAATTGGAAAATGTTCTAAACTCCTTTGTAAGTTTTATGATGGCCTGCTGAAAGCCACTGTTGTTTGTGCTGGGCTCCTTGTTTCGTGTTAGTGGTTGTACCACCTGCACCAGTGCATTGATAGGTCTTTTGTTTGTGTTGGTAAATAAAGACTGCCCATTTGTTCTGCTCTTGTAAAGCAGCTTTGCCATCATCCTGTCCCTCTCCAGACCCCTTCATGGTATATAATTACCTTTAAACTCATGTAACCAGAAACTAAAGGATGTTAATAATCCACTTTCTCTCTTGGATATGCATTATCTGTTACAGCCCAGTCTTTCAGTTATTCTGGGCTGGGGAGAGGCATCCTGCTGATAAAGTTATACCATGGGAATCTTGCAGTATACTGGACTGAAAGGTACAATTTGACCCTCCAAACAAAAGAGTGGTATTTATATGCTCATTTAATACGAAAGGCAAACCCTTGAATTTTTCTGTTACAGAACTGTAAAAAAAAATCATTAAGAAAGACAGGAAGTAATGTAAACATTGATCTTCTGAGGGCTTAATTGTACATTCCAAAAAGCTTATTTATAACGTATCAGTCTGCTGATTTGCAGTTCTGAGCCAGCCTATGAACACGAGCATTTCCCTGTCTCAAGTTTGACTGGATAATGTTTCATAAATGCAGGTTCCTGTGTAGATTCCACTTAGAACAAACTTAGAACAGTGGGTTTTTTTTTTTTTGTTTTTATTTTTACTTTGTTTTTATTTTCATTTTGAATGTCTTCCTAGTCTGTAGTAGAAAGTTCCTTTGGCCCAGTTGTGTAATCTTTGCTACAATTTACCTGATATCAAACTGATGCTAATAATTCATTTAATAGGGAAGTATGTTGGTTTGTAATTTGTACTCTTTAACACAGATTTTGAAACACACTGTTTTCTACTATGGTTTAAGAGAAGATCCTTTATCACCTGAAGGTTGACAGTGGAAAAAAGAATTGAGTAGGAAAATACATTTCTTGAGAAAATAATGTTTGATGTGGAATGCTTTTAGAAATGACTACAAGCTTATGTCACTCTATAGCACACAAAATGTTGCTAAGGTATAGCATCGGGATTTAAGCTTATAGAATATAATGCTTTCAAAATTAGCCACTTAAAAATTGGAATTAGGCAAAAGGATGCCCATGTGGAATTCAGAACTGGTTTATGTAAACTCCAGAATTTCTCTTGCGTAAGATCTCTGTCTCAGTGCACAAACTTGGTTTCTCTGATGATGAGCGAAGATTGTGTACTAAAGAAGACTGTTTTCTGTAGGAGGCCTATTTGGAAGCAACAAGGAGATTAAGATGAAGACTGTAGGAAGGAAACAAATACTTGTGATTTTAGACAGTGGAGAGCTACCTTGAAACGAAGAACCTAAGAAACTGGATTCTGTTATTGCTTCCATTCCTAAGCGATACTGGGCAAGTCACTCAAAAATTTATCCCAGTTGGTGATTAGTTTTTTATTCTTCATATTCTGGATGATCAGCATGAGCAGTAATCAGAAGTGTCTTCTGCAGAAGCACTGAGTGCCTAATCTTTATCTGAAGACAGAAAAAAGTTGTGTTTAGGAAATAGTAAGTTATATATAAGGAAAAATATTCTAGAAGAAAGGGATCTTTGTTCCCTTAAATTTGCCACTCACATTTCTGAAACTTTTTATTTGTTTCAATTACTTAGCTACAAAATAGAGATAACACCATCAGTGCCTCATCTCAGCTGTTTTGAAGATAAATTACACCTTTTTGAAAATGTTAAGCTATAATGATGAGTTTGATTAAAAAAAAATCCATATGAAATATGAACTGCTCTGTAGTAGAGTTCTATTAGCATGAAGAGAAGAATGCTTGGGATCATATTTTAAAAATGTGTAGTAAAATACTGGATAAATTCTCATTAGGATGTTCAGCTAAATCCCATGGAAAAAAATAAAAATAAGGTGCTGCCATAACACAGCTGTGAATAAGAGTATAAATTGAAGTTGACAGGCAACCCTAATTTGGTTATTTCCTGATGTCTGAGTGATTAAATTTGCAATATTAAGATGGTCTTGTAACGTAGATTCTGTGCATATGTGGTCCTACATTTATGAATATGAACATAAAAATCAAAGCCTCTAGTGTTATGCGTGCACTGATCTGCTTCCCTAACACAGGAATATTCTCAGTCACCACACAAACTTTTGCTGTTAAAAAACTGTAGTAGAAAAGATGTAATGAGAGCCTATTTCTGACCTAGCTTTTCCTCATATGGCTCTGATCACACTATTCTTTGCCTTTGAAATGCCAGTTTACTGCACAATCTTTTCATGCTATTTTCAACTCTTGTCCATTCAAGAATCCCCCGTGTCTTCCAATATCACCGTTTAATTCTCTCTGTTCACCTTATTCTCTGTTTTTTCTCTTGTCCACATCCCATCCATATCCACACTCCACACTCAGCTGAAAGTTTCTGGGTTCCATGTGTGAAACACAGCTTTCTGCTCTTTATCCAAGTCTAGATAGGTTATACCATAGAGATAGCAGAAGATACCTCCTGCAGATGACAGTGAATAGCCTGCCAAATTCCAGAATATGGTATTGTCAGTACTGCTTAAAGGTTGTTTCCTCATAGTTTTGATAATATACCAGAATTAATCTTTTCCTCCAGCATCCTTGTTAGAAGTGATTGAATTGTTTCTGCAAAGTTCTCAAAAACTCTTATTTTTATAAATGCTTGCCTAACTGTTGCTTGCCTAACGGCTGTTTACAAAGGTGGGTAGTGATAGGACAAGGGGGGGTGGTTTTAAACTGAGACAGGGGAGGTTTAGGTTAGATATTGGGAGAAAGTTTTTCATACAGAGGCTGATGACACTCTGGAACAGGTTGCCCAAGGAGGTTGTGGGTGCCCCATTCCTGGAGGCATTCAAGGCCAGGCTGGATGTGGCTCTGGGCAGCCTGGTCTGGTGGTTGGTGACCCTGTGCATAGCAGGGGGGTTGAAACTAGATGATCGTTGTGTCCTTTTCAACCCAGGCCATTCTATGATTCTATGAACTAGTGGAAGTTATGAGCAATGGGAAAGCAGATCTATTATGGGATATTTGGGCCAGCTTTGAAACCTCTCAGTGGTAATTTTGACTGTATCTGGGATCATGATGCTGGAGACTGTAGAACCCTGATTGGGAAGTATTTGATGCTTGCTGTGAAGGTTACGTAGGACATACCATGCCTTTCTCACATGAGTTTTCATGTGGAAATGTTCTCTGTTTCCCATTTCCCTCTCCCCAGGTAAGAAATTACACAGAGTGCGCCTGTGTCCAAAGCCGCCAGGTTATCACCCCGCCGACAGTGGGCCAGCGCAGCCAGCTCCGGCTGGTCATCGTCAAAACCTACCTGAATGAGAACGGCTATGCTGTTTCTGGGAAGTGCGATCGAACCTGCAACACACTTATCCCATTCCTGATATTTCTCTTCATAGTGACCCTTATAACAGCGTGCGCCCAGCCATCAGCAATCATAGTGACACTCAGGTAGGAACAAAGATATAGGGTCACGTATGTATTTTTGCTGTGCTTGCTGTCACCAGTGTCTGTGTCAGAAGAATTTAGAATATTTGCATGATAATGCACTTTGGGAAACAAGAAATGTCCAACAATTTCTAGACCATATATAGAGAGAACAAATAAAAACATACCACCTTGATATTCCACTGTCATTTGGATACCTCGGACTTGTGTTCCTTCTCTGACTTTTCCACCTGCACAGTAAGAACAATAAGAACACATTGTCACTGTACTGCAGTTATGGAAAGGTAAACTGCAACCAGTGAACATTAATACTGCAGAGAGCTTCACTTTAGTGAGATACATAAGGGAAATATTCAGCAGAATTTGTAATGCTCATCGAAGAAGAGAATGCCTCCCTCCCCCTAGTCCACGGAACAGCAGTGCCACGTACTGTGCACAGCACATTGGTCCAAGATTTGTGGCCCAAGTTATTTCTCTGGTTTTTCAGTTTCTGGCTGAGTTCTTGGCTTGAAAAGCTTGACTATCTGACTGCAGTTTTTCTGTTTGTTCTTTATCTTCTATTCCAGTGTCACTACAAGTTGCCTATCTGAATTTCAGATATTTTGGTTAAGATTTAAAAAATAACTTGTGATTTACTGAAATTGTTGTGGCATTGTGAAATATCACTATTCTGCATACAGTGCTTTGAAAGCTTGACTTTTTTTTTTTTTTTTTAACTATTGGAAGGAGTCTCATATTGCTTATGTTGAAATGGAAGAATGTTTAGCCAGACTGTTTGGATGTTGACAAAAATTTATTATAGCTCAGAAAAAAAAGCCAGGATGTAAAGTCAGAACAGTCTACAGCGACTATGATGACTAGTTTGTAAAGGAGTTTCTTTTTGTCTGCTAGGTCTGTGGAAGATGGGGAACGGCCCTTTGCACTAGGAATGCAGTTTGTTCTATTACGAACTCTTGGTAAGTCATGTAGCTACTAAGCTTTCACAGAAACCGCAGAATTTCCAAAAGGTTTGTGATGCCTTAAATGTAACATTGAAGTACTAAAATTCCATAAATATGCCACTAATGACCTGATTGTATTAGGAACTTAGAATTGATAGCTTCTGAAAATGTTGTCACTGAGAATGTATTTAAAACATTTATTTTTATTATTGACGTTCTGGAATGATATTTTTGTCCCAGAAAGAAGTATTTTAACAGTTTCAAGTTTTATTTAAAAACCCTACCTGACATGATTTGGTTTTTGACAAACTAATATTTTCTTTTGACAACAATTGGTAATTTCTTGATCCAGTTAGATGGCATAGTAAGAACAACTTTGGTCTTCTAAACATGTCCATAGCAGGATTGTGTCTGTCTTCAGTCCTTCTCCTCTCCCATAAATAATATTGCATATTCGAGGACAGAAACTGGAATTACTTGGAAAAGAAGATGAAGTGCCAGTGCTCATCCTCCTGAACTCCTAAAATCCCAACTGGTTCTGGTGTTCAGCTACTACCAAATAGTATATAATGAATGGAGCAAGCAATATAGTAGTGAATAGAACAAGCGGTGATTATTCTATGTGAGAACAAGAGGAAAAGTACCTGTGGCTGCATCTGGTCAGTAAGGCAACAGTTTTCTTTGAGGAAGGCCCTTTCTGACTCATCTTAAAGATGTCATATTTCCAGGGAAAACAGAGCATTTAAGGGTCTGGCAATTTTAGATGTTAAATTCGGTTTCTGAGGAAGATACCTTCAAAAGAGAGATTGAAACTCTAGTGGTCTTATTACTTCCATCCTTCTTCGGTAAGAGAAATGTTTTGCAATTTTCTGTGGCTTTTTCTCCTTAATCTAAAGCAGCAATCTGCTCTTTCCCAGCTTATGGGTAATGGATGTTCAACAAGTAACGCTGTGGAGATAACATCTCATTTTTTTTTTCCTGCTGATTTTATTTCCTGAGAGCACTGGAGTTTCTTTGAGGGGACAAATAGTTCATGAAGAGCTGGCTGGGCTCTACAGAGTGGAGCAGTAGCTGTTGTAAGGTGTTGCTGCGCTGTCTTTACTTCAACACTGTCACATACATGGTGTTCCTAAGTGGGATAAGTACTGATGGTGGGAAGAATAGAGCAGTAGAAATCTCGGAACTTCTTGACCTACACCTGTTTGGCTTACATGCATACATAGTTTATTTGGAAGTCTTCCTCTATCTGCTAACACGTATTAATGCTGTTGCTATTTTTATTTCAGCTTACATTCCCACTCCAATTTATTTTGGGGCTGTTATTGATACCACATGCATGCTTTGGCAACAGGATTGTGGCGTACAAGGATCTTGTTGGGAATACGATGTCACCTCATTTCGTTTTGTCTACTTTGGGTTGGCTGCTGCTCTCAAGTTTGTAGGATTCTTTTTTATTTTTCTGGCCTGGTACTCCATTAAGTGTAAAGAAGAGCAACTACAGAGACAAAGATGGAGGGCTTCGCCGGTGAACACTGTGAGTGAGATGGTTGGCCAAGCTGGACTCCAACAAAACTATGCACGGACTAGATCCTGCCCTACCTTCAGTTCTCGAGGAGACATTGGTATGGCACAAGGAATGAACTGCATAGCACAGACATACCCTGGCCCCTTTTCAGAAGCAATAAATTCCTCAAATGAAAATGCATTGGAAGAAGTCACTGCTGAGATATAGACCCCTGGCTTGGTAATGTAATGTTTAATTTTGTTGGTTGACTTAATTATGGCGCCTTGTAAAACACCTGTGCCTTCTATTTTTAATCTAAATGTAACACATGGTAAAACCAACAAAGCTTAATGCATACAACCATAGTATGTTCCTGAGGGCTGGATACCTCAAACCAACCCAAGTTCTTAATTCTCCCTTCCTGACAATGGAGTTTTAAAAATTGCGTTTGTGATTATTTCAGCTGTGTCCATTAAATGTCCATGCCCTATCTAATATCAGTGTAAGGATGGAGAACAACAGAAGTCAGTGGAAGAGTGACAAAAACTCATATTGTTAATGTCTAGATGTCACAAAAATGCTTAAATGTATCATCTTTCACATCTGCAAGTAATATTTTTAAGAGATGAGTAATTACTGTGAGTTCTGCTACAAAGCACAACTAAACTCGTTTAAACTATGCAACTTACTCAGATAATTGTATGTGCAGCAAATTATGTATAAAGTTTGCTTTTAAAGACATTACTGCAAGTCAATTTGAAAGGGGCTATTTTCAGATATACATGTTAAAATAAAAAAGAACATAACATTTAAAGTACTGTTAATAACATGTTAAGCCATACAAAATTTATGCATCAGGTAATGTTTTGCAAATGTGGAGACATAATATCTTTGTTCTGTCAAAATGTGCATTAATTTTCATTTTGTTGGAAGCAGTCATTCTTCACAAAGTACACAGGCTAGGAGAGTATAATGCTTAGAGTAAAAAAAAGCACTTAAGTATTAATCTGTGATAACATTCAGGTGTAGGAACCATGTACACATACCATGTCAGATGTTTATCTGTTATGATACAGGTCACCTGGGTGGCCCTTATTATTACCAGATCCATTTTTTTTCCTGAAAAAGAAAATAACCAGCTATGGCTTACAGGAAATTCTTGGCTGGGCTTCAGGAGTGCATGCCAGACGAGTTCAGCTTTGGTGAGGGAACCTCTGGGTAGAGCTAATGGTCTCGTTTTGTTTCTTACTGGCTGTTTGGAGCGAGGGTGGCACATCTCTCCACAAGACCTAGCAGAGAAGCCTTCAAGTGGACTGTGAGCACGTGGACTGCCCCCATGCCCAGCGTGAGGCCTTCTTCCCAACTGCTGGCACCTCTGCGGTGCTTCTCCCTGGTGCTTCTGCCCTGGTTCTGCCTCTTCTGTTACCTGCCTTGGAGCAGGCTGCTGGAACCACCTTGGAAGCTGTAGGTGTATGGATTGTCCTGCACGTGACCAGCCTTCCTCAGCTTCGTTTAAAGCTTTCTGTGAGGACAAAGGGTGAGTTGGCTCTCCTCCACCCATTCAGGGAAGAGCTAAGAATATAAATTGTCTGTGAGCAGGGACCCATGAGATGTGGCCTTTACTTATTCCAAACTACTATGGTGTGTTTTCTCCCCCGCTCTTAGCATTTCATATATTGCTCTGGAGACTTTGTAGTGCCCTTCTTACGATGTACTAATGATGTCTCAAAGGGCAGGGAACAATTTCAGTGGACACCAGGAAATCAAAGCTGTATTTTGCCCTGCAGGGAAAGCCTTACTAGTTTAGGAAATTAGAAGCATTAGAAGAACTCAATGATGGGTAGACTTGGATTTTGCTATGTGTTTAGCCTGCATGAAATCAAACAAGAGAAAGCAGAACATTGGGAATGTAAGAAGGATTTTCTTTCTAGTTTAATTTTTAATTTACAGTTTGTAAGATGATTAAACATACATGGAACTAAGTCCTCTTCCCCTTGAAATAAAAGGGAATACTCTCTTTGGCATCAGGATTTGCTTCTCCTTTGCTGATTGCCTTCCATCATCTCTTGTCTCTCCTTGACCAGCATGTGGCTTTATCCACTGGCTTGGTTCCCCTGCTAGAAATGTTGACTGCTTATTTCAGAATGTCTCAGTCCATGTATGTGACTTGTTATTAATTCCATTCTCTGTGGCTGCAAAATACAGCATAGAGGAATATCATTATAATCACCTTCTGCTTTTCTGTACATACTAGTATCTTTTTAGATTCAAGCCTCAGAATTTTTTTGTCTTGTGCAGCTGCTGGGAGCGATATTTCTGCAGTCAGTTTGTGCCACCTGGGATTTTAGCTTCTGTACTTCTCATCCCAAGGAATACATTTCCTTGTCTCAGAGGTACTGGGTACAATTTATTTTTTTACATAGGAGATCAGAATAGGTGATAGAAATGTCTCCTCCTCCTACAGTCTTGAGTGCTTCTTGCATCAAGAAATTCATGTAATGACAAAATTTGAGGCAAAGTAGTAGGATGAAGTGTAATTGCACCCATCCACTTTAATCACTCACCCATTTTAATCCGCATGGGATGAGGTGAAAAGAGACAATCTTCAAATACCTCAGAAACAGAGCATTTAGGGAATCATAAATGATATGATAAAGAGGCTGGAGATGAATCATCTGTCCTGATCTACTCTATTTCATGCCTTGTGTGCACGTCTTTTCCATACAAATATGGAATGAGAGCAGCTTAGGCTTGTAGGATTGTCAGCAGCTAACACTGATCACAAAGAATGAGAGTGATTTAAGTGACACATCTGCAACTGCTGCAGCTTCTGAGCTGAGCACAAGGGAATTCAGAGCTTGTCAGAATTGAGGATTTCTGTTTTTTAGGAAATCCTGACACCTCAGCTTCTAAAAGCATTTTATTTTTAATGTCTGAGAAACTGGAACATAGAAGGGAAGATATTCATTTCAGAAATACTGAAAAAGCTGTGTTTGTTTACCTTCTTGTAGCTTTTTAATTTTCATTTCAAAATTATATACTTCACAAAAGCAACCTAAATATCCAATAGTGTTTTTTTAATCTAGATAATTTTGTCAATATATTTCTACCAAATCATTTAATTAAATCAACATCCTCCAAGGGAAAGAAGACACAGCCTCTGGCGAACTTTTGATTTATTCCTGAAGAAGACTTTGTTATGATTAAGCTGTAACAGTCTAAACTAAGCCAATAAAGGCACCCAGGGTAAAAACAGTAACTCACCAGAGAAGTCAATTCCAGCCTTGTCAACAGTGACAGAAATATGGACTGAAATCTGCTGAGCAAACACTATTTTCTGAGGCTACTATTGCAGAAGGAAGCAGAGTTGCCAGAGAAGGTGTATGCAGTGATCCTAGTCACCATCAGTGTGTGGTGCTAAACTGTTTCACAGAGGAAAAGCTTTACCTATTATCCAGTAAGGGTGATCATGCTGTTTTCCTGTCATGAAACCATCTGACCATAAAACGTGAAATTCCAAAGTCATCTCGGGTTTAGCTGTTGTAAGTTCTGCCATCCTCCACTCTCCCTGCAAACATGGTAGTTTGGTTAGCGGCAAACACAAAAACACGTAAAGCAGGATTCCTGCCCTCCTGCTCATCCACACAGTGCTATTGGTAGAATATCAAAGTCTTCTACCTACAGCTAGCCAGCCAGGGAGAGTAGGGAGCAATGACACCTAGAGTTTAACTGCAAGTCTCCAGAGAGCCATGATATCATAAGGAGAGTCCAGTGTCCTCTTGCACAAGTTATGAGGGACATGAGAGAAGTAGTTCCAGTGCATAGACATGACTGAACAGATCGTCATTTCTTATCTAAGGCTTCTCATTTCTCTGTTTCCTCAAAAAGGGGAAGACTTTAGGAAAAGAGTATCGATAGCCTCAGGCATATAAGCATGGCTTATGAAGCACTTTATTCATATTGAGTGGCTCATATAGATTCCAGTGGATGTAGATATGGCTGGAATAACTGGAGAGTGATGCTCCGTATTTCCAATACTAGGCAAAGCCCTGCACTCTTTTAGTCCTCTTCTCATAAGCATACTGAACGTAATATGGTATAATTTGGAACTGGTGGCATTTTATTATATTTTCAGTACAGTATAAGCAACTACAAAAAATAAGTTAAATATTCTGATGCAATTTAATTGAAAGCTTTTGATTCTTTGTCTAGTCACTGTATCTTAAAAAATGCATGTAATAATTTGCTGTTTGTCAGAACATGCAGCTAAGTGAATTAGGGTACAAATCTCCTTGCAGGAGTTAGAAATATAAGTTTGAAAGCCCTTAAATTAATCAGAAACACTTGAGCATAGTGTTTTCAAAAATATGTTTGCTTTTTAAAAAAAATAGGTCATAAATTCATAACATAACCATTCATTATGGCTCTGATCCAGCAGAACACTTAAATACATGTCTAAATTTATATACTTAAGTGATGCACTTAAAAATAATGTGTGTATATAGGCACTGGACTGAATCCCATGTGCATTCAGAAAGAAGTTCCTTTACCCAAGGAGTAATTTCCATGCTGAGATGTTTTTTACCCATGGATTCAATGATAATCACCAGAAGAGCACAGAATGGCAGTCAAGTACTTCCCCATGGCATTCACATGTGGCTACTTCTATATCTGGCAATGGAGGAATGCTTTTTTTTTAAAAAATAAATGACAGTTCCATGTAGCAACGCTTAGCATTACAAACTGTAAAATTTTTACTAGAATTCTTTACTAGAATTCTTAGTTCTGGGTTAAGGTGTGATTGCATAGTGAGGAACATTACTGCCTAGAGAAGCAGAGGGCATTCCAAGCAGGTATACAGTAGGCAGTAGTTGTCTAGCTCCAGAACAAGAGTCATCTCATCACCCTGGCTGATGGCACCCAGTATCACCTCATCCAGCCAGAGATGGTGGGTGTCTGATCATCTCAGATAATGGTTGCTTCCATATTGAAAATATTTTGTGAACTTGCTCAAATATATATTCTATATTTAGTTCCTAAAGCACACCATTCACATATTTTACAGATTATCAGCTGAAAATTTAGATATTTTGTGTGGATACAGAATAAATAAGGGCATATTTCTGACCTTAAAGCCGATGAAATCACTTGTAATGCTGTAGGTTTGGACAGTGCCCTTTCACAGGATTTGAACACAGAGGTTTGAATGACACATTAGAACCTCATTACTGTAGTTCCAACTGGGTTGGAACTACATGATCCTTGGGTCCCTTCCAACCCGGGTGATTCTGTGATTCTGTGATACTGTATGGAACTCCAGTGAGCATGACTGGGGAGAAGGGTCAGCACCTTCTGTACTATTCTTGCAGGTTCTTCCCGAATTGGCTGAATTTTTGCTGCCTTACTGTTCTTTCTGTGTGAATAATACCACCGCACTTCATGACATAAAACTGATAAATAGGTCCAAAGTGTCTTATTGCTATTTTGGAGCCAGATTCTCAGCCTCAACATTCTGATAATGAGGCTGAAGAACTGGGCCTGTCCCTTATGTTGGACATTAACATGCTGACACAGTAGTGAGTACAGGTGACATAAAGTGCTTGTTTAGCTTTTATACTCTGGTCACTGGTTAGTATTACTGTTTTCATGGATCAAAGACGAAATATTCCCTTAACAAGTTTATCTTTGTTTTTTTTCCCCCTCAGTAATCTCTCTTTCATAACAGCGTATGAAATGTCATGCTGCACTATCTGTGTACCACAGCTGAAGCCATCCAGCTGTGACTGCTTTCCAGGGGTTTAAAACACCTAGAAACAGAATTACAGCAGTCTGAATTGGCAGAGCTTTGAACAGTGCGTGCTGGTTGTAAATTAAACCCATGCTAATACATTTCAGGTTCTTCTCTTGCTGGACTTGATTTTTGAGATATTTTTATCCTTTAGAGCGTTTAGAAGATGGACAGTTGGTGTCATGATGGTAGATTAATTATTTGGTATAGAATTAGGGTTTTTATTTATCTTTTTCTTACACAACTTTTTTATGTCTAATAATTGAAAAAAGGTTATTATGTAGACATTTTCACTGAGTTGAAATGGGAAGCCTTCAGTGTGGGGACGGGTTATGACCAGAATTCACTTGATTCTTCTTCCTTATTTTGTTACGAATACATGTTATTACACTAATATATGCTATTATGTGGCCAAAGCTTTGAAAGTGTACCTGGTCCTCAGGAAGGAAATTGTCCCTATCCTTTCCACACAGTGTGTAATATAAAGTAAGGGTGACAGCTAGCAAGATCCATATCCAATATCCATACCCACATGTATTTAATACCTGTAGTTTTTAGCATAAGTTCTCGAGTGTCCTGTGCTTCAGATAAGCTCCTGTAACTTAATCCAGCCATTCAGCACAGGTCTAGCTCTGCAAGTTCAAAGTAAGTAGGCCACTCTAAAAGTCATGCCTCCTATTTGTTTCCATGGAAATTATAACAGATACAAAATGTAAAACACTATTTTCAGCAGTCAGCACCATTAGTTATGCGATTTCATCAGTGATGAGCAAGAACCTTCATGCCATGCTCGTAATAACCTGCACCAGCAGAGACAACCACTGTGGTGATCAGCAAGGCTGCAATGTACCACCTGCCACTTCACTGTGCTCTCATCCTGTGTTTGGTCTCCATAAATGTTCAGTAAGCATTGATCAACGTCAGTGGGTGCCATTTTTTCCACATGAATAAGATTTCATACTATTGTTCCATACACACTGCCATGTCAGACACTGCTGTGTCAGACTGCCCCTCTGCTGCCATTTGTCACACAGCAACAACATGTAAAGAAATACTGGTGGCAAGGTTTGACTTCTGCTGCTTCATACCACCAATATCAACCTCTGACATCAATATAATAAAATAAGAGGCATTACTTTTGAAGCAGCCTTCATAGCTCCAATCTTTGCTTTTTTTTTTTTTAATTATAAAATAGAATAAATGCTTATTTGCTCACGTTCTATTTTACTCTTCTCCATTTCCTTAAGTTTTCTATTTCAAGTTAGCTGTCACAATGTTATCCTGTAACAGAATTTTATTCATGATATAGAATAGCTGAAAAGCTGTGGAAATTTATGAAGGGCTACAAAAAGCATTCAAGGTATTGTTCAGCTCAAGGAAGAGTAACCTTGATAATCTTTGGACAAAAGGCTAAACAACATTATGGTGCTAATAGCTAGTAAATAGCTATTATGATGTATTCACTATGACTTCAATGATGCATGCCAATGATACAACAGCATGTGTTTTTGTTCTTAAAGTCTGGAGTTCCTCCAGCAAAGTTGGTGTTCATAGTTCCTAGTGAGCCAATTCCTGTCTAGCTCTTCTGTGCTTTCAGGAGGGCGTATAGGATTTGGCTCAGCACTAGCAGCTAAAGTACAAGTTACATAGACCATGCAAATCTCCTATAGGATTTATTTATCTTTTTGTAGAATGTTACTTTCTTTGGTGGCTTTGCTTAAGCAGAGACTGAAAATAAATTCTGTAGGAATGGCAGGAAGTGATGGCACCTCTTACCAAGCAACATTAGTAAGAGTTTGAATTAAATTGAGGATTCAGATCTGAGATATTAATGTTCTTTCATGAAATATCAGAAAGGGGGGTAGAATCGGAACAAGTTCTAGCTCCAATAAGTGGAAAAAGCCAAATCTCACCAACTTTCAAGAAAGCTAGAATGCACAACTGAGATTTTTGGTGTTTGAGTCCTTAAGACAACATTTTGCCTTTCCAGTTGAAATTGAAAGATAATTCTTTTATGTTATTGTACCTAGACTGCTTACTGAGAGGAGGCATGTGTATCCTACATGACATGATGTGGTACGCCTCAGAAATTTTACCTCTTTAACAAAGGTACATTTGAGAACACGAGGGGAGATGTGGATGCAAAAAGTTGGACAAAATACTTCAAAACTGTTTCTGTAAAAAGAACAACAAAAACGAATGTGGAGTCACTGTGATCCATGTGACAGTGAAGGCTTTCCTTCTAACAGACTGGCTCTGTTCCCCACTTGAGCAAATGGGAGTTTTGCCTTCGGCTGCTGTGCTTACCTCTACCAAATGATTTAAGCAGCAAGAAATTAATCTGGGTAGCACGGCAGGAGAATGGAGTGGGCACACTGCCTGCAACTGGTCCGTTTTTAAAAAAAAAACTCATTATTAAGCAAACGTGTAGAGTGTTAAGGAGATTTGTAGAGTATGTCTGACTGTATGAGTGTGTGGGTGCTGTGCTGTGGTAAAAAGAGACTAATTGGTTTATGCTTTTTTTTTTTTTTGCGTACTTTAGGGATTTTTAATTGATATTTATTTCTCAGCAGAGCTTAGGATAATTTTGAAGCTGTGTAACACATTGTTTCATGGAATCTATTGTCGGCATCTGTTGTAAACATGTGTTTACGAAACAAACTCTTGAATACTTGATATTGGAAAATAAAAAGTAGCATATCAAGTGTGTTTTATTTCTGATGAGGAAAAAAAAAAAAAAGAAAAACTCCAAAAGTTCCTGGATCATTGTGCGGTCAGTCTGGATCAGGTGATGATGTATTCCATTTTTTAATGCTCAGTTAGACAAAACCAAATCTTTCCACTGAATTCGGTGAGCACTGAATCACAGAGAGGTATTGATTGTGTAGAAATAAACTGTAAAATTTCATCATCTCCTCTAGTGGTAAATTTGATGTATATTGGCTACATGCTAAGAAAAACAAATCTGTTCAAAGTTGATATTGTCAGAGTTGGAAAAATACATAGGATACAAGTCTGTGTGTATCCACACACAGCTCAATACGCCAGGGCATGAACCCAAGGGCAGGGCTCCTGATGTCTGTGCTGTGCAATGCTTATTTCACTCCATGGCTCTGATTTAGTCCGCACCAAGCCATTTCCATATGCTTTGTGGTGTAGGGATATGCCACAGGGATCTCCCAAAAGGCAGAATAGGCTGAGACAGGGTGAGTTTCCTCATTCCTGCAGCCACTCAGCACTGCAGGCTGTGCGCATCAAGGACCATGTCTTCACACAGCATTACAGGTCTGCAGCACGCACCCCACTGACACACAGCAAAAGCTGCAGTGGGTGCAGCACATCCTTGTAGTATGGTGGACATTTAAAAATGAAAACAAATGGAAATTACATTTTGGGTCTATGAAAACACATAAGAGCCAAGAGGAGCCGCTGAGCTAAGTGCTGTACAACATGGATACGGCTCACCCGGTTGGTATAGCAGTGTGGCTAGTCAGTCTTGGAGCTCTCTTACAGTCTGGGCTCACTTCTTTTATGTAACAGCACAGATATATCCACAGGTAGGAACTCTGTGGAGAGCCCAGCACCTTGCAGGTCGGAGCCCTCAGGAGGTTTGGACAGTGCACTACCATTGGGGAGTGACTCATGGACAGGGGGACAAACCAGGGGGCCTCAGCCCTGTCTGACTGCTGTACTTGCACTAAGAATTCTTAGTTTTCATTCTCCAAAACATACAACCAGATTAAAAAGCATCTGGCAGAATGCAAGTCCCCACTGTCCAACACCAGAGGTGTTAAATGAAGGATAAAGTAGATAAAGTCGCCAATAGTTTTCTGGCACACAGAGGCTGCTGCTGCTGGTTTAAAACCGAACAAATGAGCAAACTGCACGGGAGAGGCACTGCTGTGCGGCTCTGCACTGACACCTGCTGCCTGAATCCCCGGCAGCTCCAGGTGGCTCAGGCTGTGAGTGCATCTCCCCGGACCGGACGTGGTCTTATGGAGACTCCGCAGCTTGTATCCTTCCTACCGCACTTTGGCTCTCACTGCAGACTGCTGGCAGAGCACCCCATCTGGATCGCTTTTGCTGGAACAAAAGGAGGGAATTTTATTATGGGATCACACCCAATGGGCACCAACAGCCCATGGGCACTCGGGCCATGAGAACCATCCTGAGCCAATCCTCTCTGTGAATGGCTCGTGGCCTCCCTGCCCAAGTTGTTCCACCACACAAACTCTCTGCTGCTAAGAGGTTCTGAAGATGATGAGGCCTGTGCTCTGAAAAACACTCCGTTCTCACATAAACATAGAGAAATTCATATTTCTTGAGGACTTTAGGTGGTGGGAGGTGTCAGGAAGTGGCTCATGCAGTTCAGGGGTGTGAGGGCATTACTAGCTACCTTCTTTAAGATCCCAGGGGAAACACTTCACCTAACTCTGACAATTAGAACAGACGTGCAAGCCTTGAAGATATTCCTAATCAGCTCCAGGCCCTTTCTAGAAAGTAGAAAATGACATCATGCCTTTCAGAAAAGACACACCTCCATTATTTTGCAGATCAGACAAAGCCAACCAAGCAGGTCCCTCTCTCAGGCCTCCCCATGCGAGGACCACTCACCCACAAGATCAGATGAGGGCATTTGTTTTCTTGCCTAGCCTGTCACTCTCCAGCACCTGCAAGGGGTTCCTGACAGTCACACCACGTGTTGCTCAGTGCTTGACTGTCTCAGCTATGGAATAAGAAGTACAGTACAGGAGGAAATGTAGACTTCACTGGGACAGTCACAGGCTGTCTAACAAGTTGCTTAGAACATCCGTGTAGGGATGTGTTAGCTTTTGACACTCTTTCTTTGGGCTGGTTTTATAGTTGATACTTGTTTCCAGAATGCAAGGACCAGAGTACAGTTCTCTCTGTACCTCTAAGCTCCAGGGAGCCTCCTTATTTTTTTTCAGCACATTACTGTAAGAGAGCTGCAAAGAGACTCCCACATAAATTATCTGATAGTTTGGAAGGCGAGGCACTGTTTTGGAAGAAGGAAGGTCGATCACTTTCACACTGAGGAAGGTGCAAACTCACATCTTCCATTTCATGAGTGAGTACTTCAAGCTGTCACATACACAGGAAGGACAAGAGGGGTAAATGGATGGACCACGCTTTTGCACTGTTCCCTTCTATCTCTTTGCCAAAGCTTTAAGAGAGGAGAAAGCACCTTGCTAAGCTCTGTCAAAGAAACACTCTGAGAATGGACGGCACATATTTGTTATTGGATAATTCCCTACACATAGACACGAGTAAGATGTATGTATAGGACTGTACTTAAGCTCGCCTTTGTACTTCAAGTTGTCTCTGACTTGCTGGCTCAGCTTCTTTTGAAATGTGCCCTTGGAGCTTCCAGTGTGCCTTCCAGAGGCAGGTATCTCTAGAATTGTCTATCCAGCACTGCCATGATAGATTTTTAAGCACTGAGGCTCTCCGTTGTTCCCCTCATGATTTCCACATACAACCCCTGTAACTTCAAGTCTGCAGGAGCAGAGATGTCCAAGCACTGTGTAAATGAAAGAAGAGGTCAAGAAGTGCAGCTTCAGAGACGGATTTTAACTTAAACAGCTAACTGTATTCACATGTCACCGAGGACACACAGGGCGTGTGAAAGACAACCTGTACCTTGAAACCTGCATTATTCTTCGTAGTCCTCTGCGTGAGGAGACGCTCCTCCTCACAACAGATCTGTGGTCCATTATCAGTGGTCCAGTCCGTGTTGTGCCCAGCCTGTTGCACCTTGCTGCTGCAGGTAGGGATCAGGGGGTGGCATGATGTGACACTGCTTTACTCCCATGAACCACAGTTCTGCAGCCTTGTGCCATGACTTCAGGGAAGAAAGGATCGGATGAATTGGGATTTAAAAAAATAAATCACAGCGGGTCTTAAACAAAAAAATATATATTATTCACAATCTCCAGGAATAATTTAAAACTAACAGAATGTAGCGTGTTATTTCATTACCCATTGCTTTCAGTGTGGATGGATTCTTAAAGCCAAAAATCTGAACATATTTTTAAAATAAATCTGATTTGCTAGGAAAGCTGGATCATCTGGACTTCTCTGAAGCAGGTAAAGTAAAACACTTTTTATTTCAAGAAATATTGCTTCTAGACTTTCCTGAAGCCAGAATTGTTCTATAAAAGTATCACAGAAATATTATACAAGATTTAAAAACACAGCTGGTATCCTAGTAACTTGAAACCTATGTACAAATAGCATCATTCATGACCATAAATACGTTTGTTCTATCAATCAGCCCATGACACATACATCAGATAAAGAGCTAGTTAATTTTAACATATGTACAGAGTCCATCAAAAAGACTGCTCTTTAAAATTATTAAAATCCTACTAAAACAATCTTGTTTTTAAAAAGTTTCAACTGAAAGTACAATGTGATGAACGTAAGTTTAACCTGCAGTGCTTGCAATAGCCCAAAAACACTCACTACACTAAACAAGACGTAACAGATAGGAAAACACTCCCAAGAATCGGATGCTGTGGAATTACATCTGATTGAGGTAATTCTCTTTTGGTGGCATTGTGCTAATTATTTTGAATTTATTAAAAAAAAAAAAAACAACAAAACCAGATACTCAGTTTCTAGTAATACAGATTTTCAAAGTTATTTTTGTGTTATACTTTATAAACTTTAAAGTTTGGTAAAGTTCAAGAAAAAACTTCGAACAATACAACAACAAAAAATATCTAAGCTACTATTTTTTACCCCATGTGCCTTTTGCATCTAGAATAATGTAAATCTAACATGATTTTATCATTCCCTTTAATGACTGTTCAAAACAACAAGAAAAAATAAAGTCTCAAAATGAAAAGAATGCTTTCAAGATAATGTTCAGTCTAATAAAAATCAGATCTTGTGACAAAAGTATATATCAATTGATGTAAACCCTTCTACCAGTATCAGATAAAAAGAAAAGTCAAAAAAAACCTCATGTTTTTTTAATACTGACAATATCATATATAGGGAAACAATCCAATTTAAACAAATCCTCCTATACTTAACAAGTATTAACCATACCTTTCTGAGAGTAAATTTAATTAAATCAAAGTAACAAAACCATGCAATATTTTTGCTAAGATGATATTCAAACAGTCTGTTTCCACAATCCATGCTGATTATCTCTTTCCTGTCGATCTATTTATTGGTTTCACAATTACATTAATCAACGAACAAACTAAGAACAGGTAAGCTATTAGATTCATAAATGGTATGGCATACAGATTTTAAAAGTGCAACATCATTTTAGTTAAAAGTGTGGCATTAGGAATTTCCAGTGGTTAAAATAATTTATCAAAAATACATTATGCAGACAGATTGGGTGGACTGAAACATTCATTCCTGGTAGGATCATTTGGAAATGGAGAAAGTCACTTGAACATCCTTGTCAAAGAAATTATTTTAGCTTAAAGAGAATGTGCTACTGCATTAGAAAGTTAACACTGTTTCTTTCCATTAAAAAGCTGGAAATCTTGCTTTCCAGTTTGGAGAATCACTGTGAAAGTATGTATGGGTGTGTGTGAATAAAATACACACAGACAAATACTGAACTGGTCTTAATTTAGCTGCAAATTTTATCTACAGTGAACATGGAATGTCAGTTGTCATGATGACCTTTATTAGTCTGCTAATAATAAAAAGGAGAATGTATTTAATGATCTGCAACTTGATCTAACCCAAGGAGAGTGAAGATGAGGCGCTGCCTTCTATGTTTAGGACTTGTGAAGTTTCCCCTCTAAGACTTTGTTCTGTTTTCTTCAAAAATGTTCCTGTTTTCTGGGTACTGATGGATGAGTCCCTAATGGATACATTTAGAGCCTGATGAACAACAGGTTGATCGGACCTCACGGGAAGATACATTTGATCTCCAAATATGTCTCTCATAGCATCAGTGTCCTGATGAGTGTCTTTTTGAGGAATGCTGACGGGTTGTAGCATGAAGCCATGCCGGGACTCCAACTCTATCAAACCATTTCCACTGAAATCCATATCAAAACGGTCTGATTCTTTATCCTCCATCCATTTTTCAGGTTGATTATTTCTCCAGTGTGCGTCATTCAAACTACTTTTTTCAGGAATATCATTGTTTAATTCAAGTTTTCTCTCCTGACTTAAATTCATGGTGCTCAAAGCTAGGGCTGCAAAGTCTGTTGGCACAATAAGCTCCAATTCTTCTCCAGTCAGGCCGCTCGCCTCTTCTGCAGAAGACATTTCCGCTGAGGTTGATGTAGATGATTCGTCTCCATCCCTGTTGCTTCGAGCAGTGTTAGCCTTGTCTGTTTTATTTTGCTGGTAGTAACTGTTCAGCAGTGCAAACATTCTATCTACATCCTTCAAGTAATTAGTCCAGTCAGCCAGACTAAGTCTATAGTTGTATCTGTGTTCATATACACTTTCATTCACTCTGTACAAGTCTTCCAGTCCTTGCCAGTTGATGTCACCAGTGAAATTGGGCAGGTTAGCCTTCCCATCCATCCCATAACTGTCCTCTGTTAAAAGAAAGAATACAGCCTAATGGTGAACATCAGCTTAAAGGTGCAAGCAAAGCTGCTGCGTGTGTTCCTCCTCCCATTTCCTTGAAAGCACCACTACGCATAGCATATGTATCTCTAACTGGAAGATGCTCCACATCTGCAATCATCTTGCTAATGATTGTGGCCTCAGGTGAGTCACAGCTCCTGCAGAACACACAGCAGTGAAACCCCTGTTTTCTGCTGCATCCTTGGACTGAGTACAACAGGGCAGAATCTGCCCTAATGGGGCTTTGTGATGGCATTTAACGATAGATCTTCCCTATGGTATTTCAAGGCATAAGACTTGCTTTAGTGCATGACTAATCCATTTGCCTGTCCTAAACATTCCACCAAACAATGCAATGAACAAACAATGGTTGAGTATAATAGTTGGGACTAATTCTGAAAGCCATTACTGACAAGAACTTCAACAAAGACCATAGGAATTTGATGTATAGCTTGAGATATAAGTTCAGCAAAGCAACTAGCCAAGTATTATTTAACAAATTATAGTCTAAGATAGTTTCTATACCTTGCCAGCATTCTCTTTAATTTACACGGAGCACAGAGAAGAAATGAAAACTGTAAAAGTTTGGTGTGAATCAAGTTATAGGACTTTAGCACTCAATAGGATATTGTTAAAATTTATATAGAATATCTCCAAACTTTTTATTTTTTATTAAAATATCTAAGGTTTATCAGACAATGTATCTGAATAATGAGCAATGGAACAACTACAGTGACTCAGGTCATCAAATGTACTGTGAAGTCCATTTTATACTGACAAGTTACACTGAATACAATTATTTCATATAATTCACAGCACATCCAAATATTTTCCCTAAAAAATAGCCTACAAGGAAAAATAATTAGGTAATGTAGAAGGCATTCAGGGAAAGTGGCAGACCCGTCCTCACAAAAGATCTCTTAGGCAATATTTAGCAATTAATACACTGGGACAACTTGTTCATTTTCTGAAAATTATACAGGCAAGTAGGCTAGAATAACTAACCTAGAAGTGCAGGAGACTATAGTCCAGCAGTGTGAACTGAGTACACATACTTATCTATATATCAGATGCCTCAAATCTATAGAAAATTTTTGACAATTCTATTAGTTTATTGGTATTTTAACCTGCCTTTCCTAATTCAAGTAAAGCAGGAGATTCAGTGTCTATTATATTTTACAGTCTTTGCTTCTTTACTAGCTTGTGATTTCACAGCGAAAAAAATTCTCCAATATTCAGTCCATCATATAAAAAGTCATAAAAATAGAGTCATGGTCAGAAAAAAAATCATGATGAGGGGCCTGATTCTGCTCCCATCAAAGTCAGACCACTTTCCTTACTTGGGAACACCTTAGCCTTTACAAATATTATACAATGTAAAATGTAAATATTTTACTTTTTAAAAGCCAGTACAAAAAAGTAGCCATTCCAACAGTAATGTGTTCCTGTTTTGTATCTTAGGCTGTCTTGGCAAACAGTTGGCAAATTCCCTATCACAGGAAACAACACAAGCTTTTTTGGATCTAGTAGAGTAGTTAAGGAAGAGGGCCTTGCTTGGCATGGCCATGAGCACCATATACATAAGTTAGATTATGAATAATTTGTTGCCTGAAACAACAATAACAAAAAATTAAATTCTACAGAGGTTTCAAGGAATAAGTCTTACTGTTCTAGTGTTCAGAAGAATAAAAGACTCTAGGAATGAACACAGGAAAGAATGTACTTTTGAAGAATTTAATTAACTACACTACAAATCTTTATTAGTTGTACTGATAATTTCATATACCCCTTTCTATCTATCTGTCTATCTAATTTGCCAAATATGAGTCCATGTAGGAATACAAACTTCCACAAGAACAGTCAGTGGTTAAAGTGGTTTGATATATTATGGTAGAAACTGAAACTGGAGCAGTGCCATTTGATCAATAATAAGTTTGTGTATGAACCAGGGCAGTGTGGGGCAAATCAGAGGCCAGGATGTTGGCTTTTGGCCCAGAAGAGTCTCTGCTGCCAGTTCAAGGGTGGCAGTGTGAACAGTGGGGACATTTTGGGGCTGGTGAGAAGGAGTTGCTGTTCCTCGTGAGCCTTGTAGCAGGGTGCTGGTGCTGCGCTGCAGAGAAGTTAGATCAGCAAAGAGCTTGCTGCATTTCTACAAAGCAGCTCAAAGACTGAGACCATCATACTGATTCTAATCTTTTCCCCCCTAAACATTGCATTTTTTCTGCTGTCTCAATTTTACCACTGATGACTGAGGAGTTTCACAGCTGAGAAGGCACTGGAAATTGTTCCGTCAACTTCATGTCCATAAGATAAAAATAACTTGTTTAAACACATGGAAAAGAGGTAACTTGTATTCATACATGTTAAGCAAGTAGAGCAAGTAGGAAAGCTAAATCTTAAGGTCCTAGAGCTGACTGGTCGACTGTGCAAGTCATCTCACAGCTTAATTCCACAGCTTAGCAGTAAGCATGATGTTTCCCACTGAAATCAAAGTATATAGGAAGGAACGAAGAGGAGAGAAAAGATTTTCTCCTGTAAGAAATCTCATTACAAAAAGGTCTGAAACAGAAAAGCAGAGGTGAGTTGCATTTGAGTAACAACATATCAGTGGTTTCCTCTATCAATATTTGGGAATCATTCACCTATATCACAGACCCCAATGAAATAAAAAGTGTTGCTAACTGTTCATAATAAAACATCTTCAGTTTTTTTTTTTTTTTTTTTTTTAAATCAAATATTATCTAAACTTCACTGACCAATTATTATGCCTCAGAGTCCCATAATGCTATCTGTGGCTGTGTTATCCCCAAACCAATTCAAGATGTGGCTGCATCTCCTTCTAAACTAAAGGCAAGTAGGTACAATCACCTCCATGGTGACTTTGAAAACGGACAAGGAGAAGAGAGGAGATTGTGATTCCTACATCCTGTAATTAATTACATATGCAGAGTCACGTTCTATTTGTTCAAGGATACAGGCGACACACATTTTTCCCTGCAGAAACTTTCTCCCTTTGTATTAAGAAAATGGCACTCTACTGACTGTTTCCATACAGGTCTGTTGTTCCAGTATTGTCCTTGAAAACTTGCAGTGCTGTACTAACTCAGGACATTTTAAACTGGAAACAGATCTAAGTGGGATCTAAGTGGAGAACAGAGGCTGATAAATATTTTTTGTTCATAAAAAAAAAAAAAAAAAAAAGAATCCCACCAGTATAGGGCTTGAACCCAGACATCCTTGTGCACTGAGAAGCTGGCTGTCTGGAACAGAGGAATACTCACAGAGCAATATTACTGGTATCATACTATACTATTTATCCCAGTAGCACAACCTTTATTGGTCTTAGTTAAAGCATTTTCATTAACACACTGCATAATGATATATAACTTAAAGATTAATTCTGGGTGCTCTATTTCATGCAATCCTACAATTAAAATTTCTGTTATATCTGTAGTTAAAATTGGGAATATTTACAAGAACATCTTCTAATGAAAAACTTCAAATCATAATTACAGGGATTACTCTCTATCGTTGCTGTAACTGGTTCCCATCAGGCTGTAATGTGAACCACTGGGATGTGACCAAACAAAAGCTTATCATTTTCTACATCCCCAAACTACACAAGTCAGAAAATACAAAATTGACTGCATGGAAAAAAAAAAAGCTGATTAATTTGGAGGTCTAAAAAATGTTGAAGTCCATTATCTTAATTGTTTCCTGGCTGCTGGGAGCAGTGACAAGGCTCTTCTCAGAAGACTGAAGAAAAGTTTTCCATAGACTTCTGTACTCGTTGGGCCAGTTTACACCTCAGGCATGCTATGTATATTAGGACCAACTCCACCAAAGCAGACGGAGATGAAAATATATAAGACTGATATATAGGGAGGAGATATCAAGTCTGATATGACAGCCCTCTAAACGTTTTCCGCTTAACAAAATCGCTGCTTGCTGAACAGTGTTAAGACCTGAGTCTCAAAAGGCTTTTACTTTATGACCGGTTTCTCCACCAGGAGGAGGAGCTAGCTGGACTCAGCATGAGAGATATGTAGGTACTGTAAGTATACTTGTCTTGCAAACCTCAGTTTCGAGCATTAGGAATAAGACATCTCACCCACTGCCCTTCCTGAATTTAAATATTGCAACCTTTTAAGAATACTTGGTCACATGTGTTAGATCTGGTCTGAAAGCACTGTTCCCTCTGCCCAAAGGAGCCTTATCTTTATGCCTTGCTTACAGTGATCCGGATGCTATGCATGTGCTGATCAAAATGAGCACTCTTTTGCTTAAAGCAACATCTGTCAATATTTTCTAAAGCCAGTGAGAAGGTTTTACTTTACTTCTGTAGGTTTGATTAGGCTCCTTGCACACATATATTTCAGGAAGCTTTTTAAGCACAGTTGTTTTTCCACTTAAAAAGCAGCTGTAAAGACTTCCTAAATAAAAACTGAAAGAAAAAAAAAAAGCAGCAACAGGAAAACAACCCAAAAGAGGTCATTCTTTTTGTGTCATTTTTCCTGCATAAATATCTAAGAAATACAAGCATGGAATACGAGCCGTATGAAGTCTTGCTGTGACAATGAGCTACGTTAAATGCAGAATGGTAGGTCTAAAAAACAATGGCCACGTTCAGTGTAGTTAGAAAATGCATGCATCAGAAGATACTTTGTGTGCAAGATGGCAGGATACAGACATTAGTTGAAATGGACTGGAATCATGCAATTATTTGGAAAGAAGCTGCCGAGGAGAATAAAAAAGTGTGGATACCTGTGTGGATCATAGCTTCCTCCATCTTTATTTCCTGATATAGGAAAATACAAGAGTAACTTTTGTTAGTGTTTAGAACTTGTAAAACCATTCACAATGTAGTTTTCCATGCACAGCATCTAATTCCTAAAAAGAAACATTCTGTGTTAAATAAAGACAGAGCTGCAGTCCAACAAAGATTTCCTGGAAGTTTTATATAAAAGGAATGAAAAACCACAGTTTTTCAAAAATAATAAAACCCCCAAATGATTAAAAAAGAGAAACATTCACAGCTGAAGAAAGAGACACAAAGATGCACAACATAAAATACGTAGAAGGGAATACTCCTGTAAAAAAAAAAAAATAAAAAAATAAAAAAAAGAAATCACAGTTTCAAACAAATTTAAGTGCAATGAATTCCAGACTTATGAAGTATAAACACCACCTATTCTTGTATTCAGAGACACTTGCAAAGAAATACTGCTTTCCTCATAAAAAATTAAACAAAGGGATAAACAGATGTTTAGTCTTGGTTGTGGTGTAGCGCCTGAGATTGTTCATACAGGTAGACAGCAATCAGAAATAATACAGGATTTAATACCTCATCTGCTACTGTTAGGTAAAACCTAACCAAGCATCCTCTGCAACAGAGAAAGGATCTATGGCTCTGAAAAGAAGATCTGCATATGCTTTAACTGCTTAGTGCAAATAACATGATAGACTTGCCACAGAATTTCTGTCAACTGCTGCTTGTTGTCATTATCTGTCCAGAATAACTTGTGCAAACTTACAGGGAAATTTTCCACCTTATTAAGAGCAACACTTAAGAAAATCACACCTTAAAGATACAATTAAGGAGATGACAATAACCTAATAAAATGGAAATAAATACTCTTTTCTATTTTTCTTGTACCTGCTTCAAGTCCCTTAGGCCTCGGATTGCACTGCTTATAACCTTGACAACTTCGCAATTCCATTAACTGTACGTGTAATTGATTTAAAATGCCTCTTTCCACTGTATGTACGGTATTCGTCAGCTGAGAAAAAGAGAGACGGAGAGAAAAATTACTTACTAACAGAAATTAATAATAATAATAATAATACAGCAAAAGGTGTCTAGAGGAATTTAATCTGCAATATTTTGAAATAGGGAAAGGGGTTTACCTGATAGGGATCAGTGTTCATATCAAAATATTCCAAGAAGCCAGTTGCAAACTCACAAAAGAGAAAATTGTGGGTGTCATTCACTGTTCGCAAGCACCAGTAAGTGTTGTTATTTGAGCTTGTGCAAGCACAGAAAGATCCCACTGTAAGTAATGATAGAAGTCATTAGTTTAGGTGAAAAATCATATGCTTATTCACTTATACTAGTGAAATTTCTATAGGTCTTCATGTACTTATACTTTAGATTATTTAAAAGAATATCTCATATTTGAATAACATTAGATTCTCATTTAAAACAGGTCAAATGCTGCTAACGTGCAAATTTATCATACAAATTTCTCAAATATATAGACAAATAGAGCAGAAGATAGTAAGTAACACAGTTACTGGGCATATTCTGTTCCGATTTACATATAACTTTTGGGATTAAGCAGAATTCAGACCTTAAAAATGACAACATAAACCCTGATCCTTAAGATCCATATGAAATGAGACTCATTGGAACCGTGTGCTGTTTATAGGCATACTATTATTGCCATCAGTAGCTAAAATGGTACCATTAGTAGAGCCTCAGAGATGCAAGTACAACAGACAATTACAAAGGAAGGTCAAATAATAAATGACATGCATAGAAATGACACAGCAGTCAAGAAAGGGTGAGGCACTGTATGAGAAGAAGGCAGGTGGGAGATTTGGTAGTTTAGGATTTATGACTTGAGGGAATGGCATGGAGTTGCAGCAGGCTGATGGTCCTTGTGAGTTCCTTCCAACTTGGGCTATTCTACAGTTCTGTGATTGATCTATGAAGAAATGTTTTAAAAACAGGGAACTTGTCTGGCACTTGAATGCAGGTATAATGGCTGAAGAAAGATGGAAAGGAAGACCAATGGATAAGTCTTATATTAAGAAGTAGTTCTCTCCTACTGGCTTGAGTCTTTCAAATGTAGCTACTTAACAATTATGTATTTCGAACTACACTCCCTCATTTAATTTATTTGGTACACAGATAAGAGAGAAACTGAATCACTCAGTTAAACCTCTGCTCAAAAACAGCTCCAGGTAACGTAACTGGATTACATGTTATTATTTTGCGATCTGGGGAAGCCTAGAACAGAATTCCATTCCTAGACCCAGGTGTCACACATGAGGTAGATGTCATTAGATAAAGTTAAGATCTTGTCAGTACACTCAAATGGAGTCTGGACAGCTCTTCCGCTGACCAAACATAGACATGCATTTTAGGGTTATATTGGAAAAATCCAATCATTCAGTCTTCACATTGCATATTTTGTGCAATATGAAGATTTAAAATATGGTAGCAGGTGAACTTATTTTGTTTTCTTTTCAATTAACTGAAGTTTAACCAAAAAACTAGCCGGAGTCAACAGGTAGTTTCAAATGTGACTATTAGAAGATTAGTTTTAGTAGGGTATGTTTAACAAAATGGCCAAACCTTTTTCCAAAAACCTAATATTTTTATGATTGTTTATAATCTCTTTCTGCCAGCAAAAAGAGATATCTCAGAAAGGTCTTAAAACAAACTGATAGCAAAGTTTTCTTTAGAAGAATACCTTTTTAATTCCAATAATAAAATATTAATAATGCGTTTGATTTTCATTAAATTAGTTCTGTGACTTTCTGTAATAGTTTTAAATACATTTCACAAATTTAGTAACAGTATTAGCCCTTTTTAATCCATGTAATCAGAATCAATACTTTGATTTATTTTTGGTTATGAACTGTGTCAAAGGGACATTCTTTTACCCCATGACTGTTACTGGAGCATTGTCATTTCTACAGAAAGATAAGAATGCTTTTCATAACTGTTTGTTACTCCGCAGTTAAAAAGCAATACCTCAGTCTAATAGTTGTTTAAAACAAAAATCATGCATATAACTGTTACAGGAACATTTTAAAATGTACAAAACATATTAGCAGAAGTTCTAGTGCTATCAAAGCAAATTACTTTGAGAGAGAGCATCTTGAAATGAATATGTCAAATTTTCTGCTTGGAGTTATGAAGTCTGCACAAAAAGTAATGCCTCTTATATTATTATGTTGGCCCATGTAAGAAGTGGATGTTGGTGTTATAGCAGTAGTGGCTGTCATCACTACTCTCCCATCAGTATTCCATTACATTTTGTTGCTGTGCAACAGATGGCAGCAGAGGGGCAGCCTGACACAATGGCGTCTGACACTGAAGCGTGTGTGAAGCATAGGTGTGAAACTGAATTCCTCCAGGCGGAAAAAATGGCACCCACTGATACACACTGACACTTGCTGAACATCTATGGAGACCAAAAAGTGGATGTGAGCACAGTGAGGCAGTAGGTGGTGCATTTCAGCAATAGCGACTTCAACGGTGAGTACTGCTGGTTCAAATTTTTACGAGCTTGGCATAGAGACTCTTGTTCCTTGCTGGTGAAAATGCATAGCTAATGATGGTGATTATATTGAAAAATAGTGTTTTGTAGCTGAGAATTTGCTCTATCAATAGTGCTGTTTTGCCCTTTGTAGGCAATAAATAAGAGGCATTACTTTTGGAGCGGCCTTAGTATGTTGTAGCATAATCAACATTCGATCTTTAAGTTTTTGAAAGCAAAGTTTTCCTTTTCATAGGAAGTTTGGTTTGCAGAGACTTTAGAATGGTAGTGAAAGTCTCAACGCTCGAGTAAACTTCTCAGCAATGTCATGTACATGGCCTTTGAGCTCTAACCTGGTGAAACTAGACCATCCACAGAATTAATTCTGCAGGAACCATCTAATGCTTACACACCAATTCTATCTCCTGCTGTCACAGCTACTTAATTCTGCTGATCCATCTGTGGGTTAGAACGTATAGTTTCATTATATAGGCTTACACAAAATTTACATTGATACAAATAGGGGAAAGTTTTACCCTCCTTGTGCTTTTTCCCACTTCACAAGGCCACAACTCACTTGGAATTCCTATGAATTATTTGATCATCTGGACTGTCAAGACATGACAGGAATCTCAGTGTCTAGTTATGAATCTCTACAAGCTATAAATCTCTTCAAGAGAGATTTTAACAAGCCAATTCCCCTTTTTCCTTCTGCTGTTTTGCATAGAGCCTCTTGTAACAATTTCATATAAATATGTAACACAGAAATTACAAACATACTCAAGTGACACTCTTCCTGGATACTTCAGAAAAAAGTTCAGTGGCAGCACTGCTAAGTGCTGTTCTTCCACATATGGACTGCATGAGGTGAGAACCCTTGTACGACAGAGGAGAACCTAGTTCACATCTGAGCACAGAAGTAAGACTTACAGTTCCAGAAAGGTGCAGTTTGCCAGTGGTTGTTGTCGTGGGTAAAACATGTCAGTCCAGGAAGGCTACACTCATCCCCTTTCTTCTGGCGCTTTTTCCCCTTCCTTTCCTTCTTCCTTCTGCGATTCTCTTTGAATAGCTGCAGTTTGCTGTCTACCTCCTGCGCTGCTTCTCTGTTCAGAAAGAAAATTGGACATGGCTGATACAGCTTCTATTTGGTTAACAACAGCAGTTTTTACCTCTATCTGACTTTCTTGAAGACTAGATGATGAGAATATGCCCTTTGGGAAGCTGATCTTTTCAGCTCAGCTTTCACCCCAGAAATTATGAAAAAGTGTATTCTTCAGCATCTATAAGAAATGATGCACTTTAGGTTTAACTAGGTCTCTTTAATGATTACCTAGTCAATCAATTTCTGAAATGATTGATTTCTTCCATTTCTAATTTTTTCCCAATATTATTCATAAACTTTCACATATATGACCAGAAGTACTGAAGGTTTCTTGCTTGAACTTGCTTTATGTGACCTTTTGTTTCCTTCATGTCTTCCCTTCCCTTCCCCCCAAGAACCCAAGCCATTCTTAATGTTTCTCTATCACTAGGATGCTATCTGAGAGAGTGAGATGATAAAACCTTACTTGAAGGGATGAAGATGGCTCTTGATTTTCTCTTGAGCCTTTACACCTTTTTCTTTGTTGTAATAGCTATAAGGAAAATTTTAAAAATTACAATCAGGAAACAAACCATTTTCAAAACAAAATCGAAACAGTAACAAAGCATCTTTGACATTTTCTCCTAACTACACAGAATGACTAACGATTTCCATTTCATTTAAAGAAGTTATATATGTGTGAATGAGCTATAGTAAAACTGTAGCTATGTTTAATACGTTAGTAGAATACAAGCATATTTAATCTTAAAATTCGTACATGCATCTTCTAAGAGTAGTTTCTACTCTTAAAAGTGAGCTAACTAAAATTTGGATCTGGTAGTCCTCCATTTTCAGCTTCTATTTTCCTGAATTAAGATATGTACTCTGTCACTTATATGTGTCTCCAGAAATAGGATAACTTTGATTTTTTTTTTCCAGGTCAATAGAGAAATAAGTTCCATCCAAGAGAGATAGAGAGCACAAATATTTACACTCCTATTATGAATCAGCTTCGTTCCTTCCCTACTTTGGAGATGACATCTCAATAAGCTAACTCTAGTTATGAGTATCTACAGTAGTTATAAATATCAGTAGCTCTTATATTCTTTGTTTCCCATCTCAGAAAAAAAGAAGAAAAAAGAAAAAATGACCCACAAAAAAGAACCAAAAACCAACCAACCAACCAAAAATCTCAAATCAAAACAGGAAAACTTGAAAAATATATAAACCTTATCAATCAGTGTAACTGCCAGCACTGAATGTCATCTATCTTACCTCTGTTTAGTACAATCACATTCATCTGGTTTTCTTCTTTTTAGGTGCCCTCTAACTTCCCTCAAATTCTTGATTTTGTCCTGGAGAGCTTCAATCTGCAGAGATCATTGCTCAATCAGATTTATTCTTTGAATAGGTAGCAGTGCAAAAAATACATTCACATTTTAAAGTATCCCTTACCTCCTTATCAATGTAAGCCTTGTGGTCCTTCCAGGCTCTAGCAGATTGGTATAGCTCCCTTTCACAGTGAATAGTGTCATTTGGAAGAATAAAACACCTGTAGATGCAAATTGAAAACAGGTGGTCATTGGTTCCCCAACTGCCTACTCTATTACTCTCTTTTTTCCATCATTTCTAATAATTTCTTTATAAATAACCTCTAGAATATCTTCTCATGCTGACAACAGTATAATTGTCTGCTTAAATCTGTTTTCTCTTCAAAATCCATCAATCCACTCATCCACGACACATGCTCTACACATCCTCTGTGCATGCTAAGCAAAAAAGCTGTGAGATTCTTAATCCAATCAGAAATTAGACCACAATGGAATTAAAATCTATTCAGAATGAAAAGTCTTGTTAACAAAATGTACTCATTTTGCCATCAGCTCTGGGAAATATATCCCTTTTGTCCCATGAACGAGACCCATCATCTGAGTATGAAAAATAGTTACAAACAGAATACAAATATAATCAGTGAGTAAAGAAGATACATATAATTAATAAGTAGAAGGATAATAAGGAACAAAATTAGAGCAAAAAGATGTGGTAGATTTCAAAGATGTGGTTAAAAAAAAAAAAAAAAAGAATGTTCACATAATAAAGTGGTGCAATGACACAAAAATGCATACCAATGTTTGGAAAAATGGTGCTATCAAGAAACAAAATAACTGGAAGACCAAGGATGTGGAATGAGAATCCAACAGACAACAGGCTGGACTTCCAAATCCTCTAAGCTGACGAAAAGAACATCCATAAATACGGAAATATTCCTATCTTAGAGACACAATCTTCCCTGGGCCCTGCTCCATCATAACCCTTCTTTAAATTTTTGAGAAAAGCAGAAGGATTTAAATGCTTATCTCTTCTCAACTTCTCCCACTATGGTTGCTTTTTTTGTTGTTGTTTTGTTTGGTTTGGGTTTTTTTTGTTTGTTTTTTTTTTTTTTTTTTGTTTGGTTTGGGTTTTTTTTTCACTCATAGAACTGGCACTCTGAAAGCAATATTTATTAGAAGTTAAAATCCTCTATGGGGAAATATTTTCCAAAAAGACACTTAAGGCTTTATTAATGTCATGGAAATGATAATGTAAAGAAAGGATAATTTTTACATGTTCAAAATTAACATTTATGTTATTCTTCATGTTTCTGGAAAAAAAAAAAAAAGATAAATGCTACTTATATTTCAAACATGATAGGGGAGTTAAATTAAAAGACTTTTTGCCTGTGTTTGCCTGACTTCAGATAAATCGTATTACCACTTTTAAGAGAAAAAGAGTTTGAAATTGTTGCCTTTTCATTTAAATTTTGTTAAGATTAAAAATTAAAAATGAATTTAAATTTCCAGGATGGAAAAATGATGGGTCTGTTCAAGCATATATGAGTCTAAAGAAGCTTAGTTAATGCTAGCTTTCTGCAAACAACTAAGCCAGAAGAGAGATGGTGTAGCTGATCTAATACGTCCTAACTTGGAGTAGGATTTCAGTCATCTTAAATTTAGGTCTCTGTGCTAAGCTGGTTGCCCAGCCTTTATAACGAACAGCAGGAGTGTCCGCTTCATGGGGTGATTAATCCATTATAAGATATGTATTTTGATATGGAGGATGAGTTCTCCCTCTAGAGTTGCCTGCTTCCCAGAGATAAAAACAAAGCCTGACACTTCTCCCTTCAATGCTCATATTACAATGGTATGATTCCACCTAAAACAAGCACAACTCAAACATATCTAAAATTGTCTGCAATAACAATTGTAAGTTCTTTAATACAGGAACTATAAAACAGCAAAAAACTTTAAGACTGAAATTAGAAAAAGACTTAATCTAAAGGAAATAAGTAGAAAAAGCAATTGTACTTGTGCGTCACTCTGACAGAACTGGGTTGACCTATAGCATCAGTGCCATCAGCAACCATCGTGTCACCAAGAGCACCATCAGTTTCCTCTGCTTTTTTGTCATTTTCAGCATTGTGACGTTTGGTGATACTTTTGGTCTTTAACACCTGCAGTTCTTCCTCTTCCAGGTTTATGTCATATATTTCACCTTCAAATTCCACAGACAAGGATCGGGTTTGGCGAGTGTGAACAAAACGTGGTTTGTATTCTGCAGAAGAAAGAAACATCCACAGCTGCATATACACATGTACACGACTCCTGCTCTAAACACCTAGCATATTCCAAAGAGCAAGAAGGCTGTTCAATATTAACAGCTTATTTTTCTTCTGTGGCTTTGCAGTATTTCATTATCTTTGGTTAGTTCAGGGCCCACCCTCTCATGAGCAGCATGAAATCCTGAATGCTCTGTGTTCTGCATTTCATGCTAGCCTGGTCTTATGCCACAGTTAGCAACTATACTTCCAAACAAAATAAGTGTCACAGAAATCAGGTATCTAGAATGCAACACTCAAAAAACCCAGAAACTACAGGGTTAGAACTCCGTTAGAAAATTAAGCCATTCTGTGTTGTGAAACAATGTTACCACCTGTAAATTGGTATATATCATAAATTTGACTTATGCTTCCTAATTACAATTACTTTTTCAAAAGGATCCTTTAAAAAGGCAAGAATCTGTCATATATTAGTGCATACACTTGTGTATGTATATACATATATATATACATATATATATAAAAACTCTGACACACACACAGATCATTCATATCTATGAATACAAGTTTTAGTCCTCCAAAACCTTGCTGTGTCGTAGAGTTAAAGTGAGCTCTGTTTTCCATTTGTTACATCCATGCTGAGCACATTTTTTGTTACCTAAATGCATTCTGCATAGCAGAATAAAGCAAGAGCTCTGGGAGAGTACTGCCTTTGGCATTTAGGTTAGATTCTATTGCAGTTTTTTTTTCTAGGGCCTTTGAGAGATTCATACTGAGCCAGAAAAGGCAAGAATCTTTTGAAAGTGCAGATAGTGAACCTCATTCAACTTTTTACTCAAACAATCCTATCCTCCTAAACTGTTTCAGAGGTTGCCTGCTGTCAGGTAAAAAAAAAAAAAAGGGTTCCCAGTCAGTGAAAAACCATAGTTCCAAAGTACCTTTCTGCTTTATATAAATCGTTAACGAAACAGTGAAGAAAGATTCACAGGATCGGATGGGAGAAATTCTGGCTTTGTAACAGTGTCTGATGATACTGCTTATTAATCAAGTGACTAAAAAATTTTGGAGCACAAAAGCATCTTATTCAAGTGTCATCTAAAGGCCTGAACCAGTCATTCCCTTAACAATGTTTCATCATCATGATACTCTGTTTGTCTCAGATGAACAGTAAGGGAATTTGGAGGAGGAGAATGAGGGGAATTAAAGAGGATTGAAAATGTTGTAAAGGAGAAAAGCATAACAAATTGCTTTTTTTCTGATGTCCCCTTCACATGCTCTCAACAGTTGTTTGCCCCTTTCCCATCTCCCCACATTCTCTCCCCAAGGCGCTGCCCCTAATTGCAATCCCCATCCAACCCTTGCTGGTACCGTGGCAACCCTCCTCTTTCCAAGGTAATGGTAGGAATCTCCCCTTGAAATTATCACTTGGGGGAGTATTGATCAGTTTGAAGATCACTCCGGTAGTTGGTGACATGGAGACTTTTCGGAGGTCTGCCTGTGCACACTATGAATTTTCTTAAATCATACTGGACAAATGGAATAAATTATATCAAGGCGGCATTTAATCTGAACAATGAGAACTCAAGACAGACAATATTGTGGTTAAATGTACAAAGAATACCAAGGATTCTTGTTCATTTGCAGTGTAGTATTGATTTTAAATCAGGAAATATTTTGAATTATACTGCCATTTTCTTATTTCATAGACATCTGTGCAGCATCTTCTAACTTTTGCATTTCTTATGACTCAACAATCTTCCTGTTTTAGAGGCTTATCTCTACTTATTTCATTCTCCACTCTAGTATTCTGAACAGAGGACAGGAACATATAACCTGTTCTTGAGCAAAGCCCCCGAAATCCAGGTTCACTTTCATTGTGATGGTTACAAAACTTCACTTTCATCATCGGGCAGATAGATTAAAAGACTTGTTCCATTTAAAATAGTGTCTTCTTAAACAGGTTTTTGCAGTATAAATCCTTAGCAGAGACAAGTCCAAGCACTGCTGTCTTAAAGCCCTTTTGTGCATTCCCTTCAGACCACGCTCCACTAGAGGACACTGCAATCTAACCTGTTTCCTTGCAGCACTCCCGGTACAGCCTGGAAGCTGCAGCTGTGCAAAAATTCATTCTGCCAGCAGTCATGGCCTCTCAGTGTCTTGCATAGAAGAGGTCTTAGGGATACCATCAGACAGCATTTGAATTTGGTGTTAACGATGCAAGGAAACACTTGCTTTGACTGTCTTAGCAAATAAAGGCACTGGTTCAACTGCAGATGACACCAGGTTCGTGTCTGACCAGCGCGATAGGTGGCACCAATGCATCACCACCACGGCCAACCTGAGCTGTATTCTTTACTGCTGTGCAGGGCTAACTTCGGTTCTTATCGTTTTTGTTATTACAGAGGCATTTATGTAGAACCCAGCTGCCAATTACATTGTATTCATTGTATGCTGAGGATAAAACCAACACTGTGAGCCTTTACCCCTGTTCTTTAGCCCAGCATACAGGAGGTCAGAACACTTACTTTGCGCACTGGGGTTTCTCAGAAACTGTCTTTGATTTTTTCTTTGGGTCCTGCTGTTTCGGAAATCAGTGTCTCCACAGTTGCAGTCCTTATCTTTACCGCTGTATCCCCGGGAGTGGATGCTGCGGGTCCTTTTCCTGATAGCCAGCATGTCACTGGATACCTTGCACTTGTGAATTCGAAGCTTGCCAGAAGCATCTTCTGTGCACTGCCACTTCTGCAAGAGAGAGAGAGAGACATGTGAGGATGACTTCCCAGCAGCCTTCCAAACCCCTGCTGCTCTCAGATGGATTGCAAAAGATGACAAGCAAATTTCTTTCAAAACTAAGTGGTCTCTTAAAGAACAAACTGAGGTGGGAAACATTTTAAGGGACTAAATTTGCTCACATCCTTCTCGACATCTCTCTCAAGCTAGGCAAACATAAGCTTGAATGAAATTGCTGTGAATCTGCATAAAGAAAACACAACTCAGCCAAAAATGATGTATAAATCAAGAGTATCTAGACTAAACACATCCATGAAACAAGCAAGTAAAAAGTCTTAATTTACTGAGCCACGGAATACAGCTGTCAGAGCTGTTTTCACCAAGACTCTTTTGCCCTTTGAAAAAACAAACTTTGCTTCTTTGTTCTGCAACTCGGAATTTTTAACGTGATTCACAGGAAAATTAAAAATCTCCACAGATGAAGAAGAACTGGTTCAATTGTGGGGTTCCTTGGAAAAGAGGACGACAAATCATGGATGTGATTTAAACAAAAATACTATGACACTAAGAGCATGTAATTTATTTCCATACCAGAGGCCAGAGTTAGGAACTACACCCTAACACATCCCTACAAACCATGCCACTCAGACCTGAAAATACTGCTGACTATTCATATGAGAAGCCTGAAAGCATAACTTCCCCAGGCCCCTCACTCCCCCCAGCAGATGGAATCAGTGCAACAAGCACTCCCAGAAAAGAGCAAAGGGAAAAACCTCAGGGACAGCAAATAAATAAATCAGCTCGGATAAACTCCTTTGGATCCATAAGTCTTGAGATTTGTATCAGGCTGGTGAGAAAACAGTGCAGTCTGGAAGGAGTACCTGTACAACACTGTACATGTGCTGAATATAAGAGCAAGTAAGGGAGAATGAGAGGAAACAGAGATTTTTCCAGCTTGTCTGCACAATATCTGACTGACTTGATTATCAACATGACTGAATCCAGATGGAAGAACCCAGGTGGATTTTTCCAGTGGATCCCACTGTCTCCACATTTCAAATAAGAAACTAACAGAGACTTTAATTTCCTCTCCACACTGAACTGTCATAAAAAAGGCTGCACTTTTTCTTTTCTTTTTTTTCTTTTTTTTTCTTTTTTTTTTAATGGATAGGTGGTGACAGATCGGCGCTTCTTTGCCCATTTCCATAGCTTGCCATATGTGGCAGCAGGTAAATAGCTGGCATGCATAAAACACTGCACATGCTAAGAAGTCTGTGATTCCAAGCAAGTTGTAGCCCAAATAACAGTAGGAGAACTAGAAATAGCTATAGTTACTTATAATACTACTAGCCAGTGAGCTTTGTTCACTTACAAAGCCACAATAATGAGACTGCATACAAAGTCATTAAGTTTGGCTGGATAGGGTTGCAACAGCCACCTCCACTTGTTCAGATTTTTACAGGCTCTTGTTCTCTGCTGGTGAAACTACATAGGTAGTGGTGGTGATTATGTTGAAAAATAGTGTTTTATAGCTCAAAATTTGCTCAATCAATTTTACTGTGCTCATCATATCTGTTGTAGTTTCCATGGAAATAAATAGGAGGCATTGCTTTCAGAGCAACCTACATACATGTGGCCCAAGACAATTCCTCTTCACTCAGTGTGGCCCATGCAAGCCAAAAGGTTTTACAACCCATGCTATACAGTGTATTTTTTTGGTTCCCATGAATGGACAGCCTTAGGTTTTTCTTTCCTCATTAATAACAGCAAGACAGCTAGATGCTGGTCTTAATGCACTTCCCAACTCAGTTTTTGAAATGAACACTAATATCAGAGCAGACCCATTTCAGTAAGTCTCTTCCATTAGCTAATGACTGCTCTGGACTCTTGGTGGTGCTGTCAAGCTGATTGAAGAATGAAGAAAGAAAACAGCCTCAGGTAGATTTACTGACCTGATAACCTGAGGAGTGAGTTGATGTGGTTGCACACAATAGAAAACAACTTCTGACTTACACACAGTCACTTCAAAGAATAGGAAGGAGGAGAGGTAAAATTAATTAACAAGCATATACTTACAGTACCTCCACTCATATAACTGTTTGGGGCTTTCTGTGGTCCTTTTAATGGCAGAAGTATTTCTCAATTAAACACTGAAATATTGGCTCTGACCTACAGCCCTGTGACAGCACACTTTGGCTGAGTGCAGTCTGAGATAAAAGATGGATCCCAAACTGAGAAGGTTTGCTTGTGGTTCAGCGTGCCTTTGATCACAGAACACCAAACCACGTTTAAATGGGCCTGCACCCATCTGACTGCCGTCTGAGGAATTATACTCAGGCCCAGACTTTCAGAATAAACCTACAGCAGCAAGTGACAAGGGCACTTTCTACAAACAAAGGTGCCTGAGAGCTGTAACACTTTTCAAGACTTTATTCTGCAACAGCAAGCGCAATCTCCTATATCAAAAAGACAAACTCGCTACAGGATAAGAAGTGAGTGCAGTGTTATAGTTCCTGTGTTTTTTGAGTATGTTACATTTATAAACATACAGCACTAGTTCTTAATGAGTCTCAAAAGCACCATTTGAAAGTAAAATAAGTATTTTCTTTGTCTAACATTAATTATAGCAAGAAGTTCCAAAAGTGGCTTCAATAGCCATTTAGATCATTTTTAGGAGTATTATGACTAACACTGAAACAAGACACTCTGTGTCTAATATGAGCCAATAACAGTTCTCTGTTTAAAACAGGGATTAAATGTGATTCAGTTTTTTTTTTTTTTTTTTTTTTTTTTTTTTAACTTTTAAATGTGTCATTATAAAGATGCTTCAGAGTTCTGAGATGGAATTTTTAGACTAACTTTCCTGAAACCTAGCCCATGCCAGCGTAATCATGAACTGATCTTGCATTATGCAGTAAGACATAATGATCCTTCTGCTCATCTTTAGATCTATAAAATGCATTAATGCACATAAAAGAAGATTCTGAAAGATGTGCTGCCCCTTTCCAGCCTACCTTCCTTCCTATTGTGAATACCAAACTATTCTTTGAAATCCAGGAATACAAGATTTGGTTTCTGAATCTCTATTTTTCCTTTGTAAAAACAAAACAAAAGAAAACAAGACTAAACTAAAGCATTGCTACATATAGAAGATAATTATGTCTCCATTAACTTTTAATTTATATATGCTTTCTTATTTTCCCCAAATTTATTTTCCTTCTTGTTTTGATGTTCCACAAAACACCCAAGCTGATCTGGAAATTCACTGCTGCCACAGGAATAAGGGATGGTCGCTACTTGTAGCTGCATGCTGACTTAGGTTCTATCAGTAAGAGACAAGAGGACTAACTCAGAATTGAAAAACAAAGCAAAAAACCCCCACCCAACTGGGAGAGAAAAAGGAAGAGCCTGCCATTTGACTGCAACAAGTTGTTATATCCTTTCAGTCACGTTATGAAACTTAACCTGTGTCAGCCCTTTTTCCTGTCACTGACTCATCTTTTCCTTCTTTCTTTTCATTTCATCACCTGCCCCCCAGCAATGATTTTGCTCCTGCCTCATCTGTCCACCTTCAGCTTTCCTTCTGCCTCAATTTATCTTCAGAAGGGAAGTAAAGGTGGAAAAGCAAGTTGCAGCAGCATTTTGGAGGATATAAAGGTACAAAAGGACAGAGCATCACTTTGGGAGCTCAAGGTCCTTTTATCTCTGCCCAACCTGAAGTTTGAATGCATAAGGATGGATGTCTGCTGCTCGATGGAAAGGCTCACAATAGGACAGAAAGGCTGCAGTAGGACGGCAGTAGGAGCTTTGCCTTGGTTGATGTCATTAGCATGACACATTTTCATCTGGGGCTAGAAATTTGCCCTTATAAGGTCATTTCAAAGACAAAGAGGAGTAAACGGACTGATTAGAAGTGTATTATTTGTACTGGGTCATTTTGCTTTGCACTGCAGCTGGCAAAGTTCCATTTGCAACGTAGAGCTACGTGAGAAAGTCAACAGCAAATGATTCAATAGCTACCTTCGGTTGCAATTTCCTGATATCAGTTGGTGCCACAGCCTTAAAGTTAAGTAAATTTACTTCATTACAGAACATACTTCAGGCATAAAAATATAAATTCAGCATAAGTCATTGCGCTGTGCTGCACTATGAATATCCACTTAAGCAGGAATTCAAATCAACATTGTTTAGCTAATAGACTGTCACAATTTTGAGAGAGTTGCTTCATAGAGAGGGGAAATTAATTAGACAATTCATGAAAGGTGTCTTAACAGTAGGCAAGCTAAGGATCTTGATAAAATGTAATTACCCCGTATTTGCAGCATACTCTTCAGTGTAAAATACTTTGTCAGACGATCTCAAAGCTATGAAACCCTGAAAAACGTGATCGGAAACAACACAGAGACAACGTACAGATGCTTTTTCATTTCAGTAACAAATGACTGACCCGAGAATTATTACTCATCATAGGGAAAGAAAAGGAAGACTTCATGAACTTAAACATGCCACCAAGATCAGATTTTTCTTTTTTTTTCCCTGATTAAAAATAAACAATTATGTTGGAAAAGGATTTAGATGAAAACATATGGCTGTTATGCCTGTATGTGAGTACCACTTTTCTCTGTTAGCAATAAGCAGACCTGCCTGAGTGTCAGGGACCTGATGTGACAATATCAGCAAATGAGTGTGGGTTTGGGTGTGCTGCTGCAACAAGAACTGAATCCTGTTATTGTTTTCTCTGTGACATACAAAAAGTCCTTCTCGTGCAACATGCTGAGAAGTGCCTTGTAGTTTGCTGGCTGTGGTAAATAGTGCAGACAAGCAGAAGTTTACTTCTGCTGAACTGGACCTGAGCACTGAGAAATGTTTATGGCGTAAGGCTATGTCCTCTGTGCATACTCGCAGCGTAGTCATAAACCTTGGTTCTGACCTAGGCTCCTAAGTGATCCTGGAAATATGACTGAGTTGTCACATTCAGACAGTGTTTGAATATTGCAAGCAAGTGCAGCTGT